AAATCCGACGCTCGCTTTCATAAGGACAAAAGGAATAAGTTCGTGTTTTGCTCCTTTTTCATCTAATGTACGTGTTTTCCTGGCCGTGAAGTGGGTTGGCATAATAAAATCAAATTCCTTCGCCTCTTTGCGTTTGTTAAAAATAAATCGATTAATGATAATATTTGTACAGACACACCATGGACTTTATTTTCATACTGATCAATATATTTACGAATTTTAAAAATGGAATCTCGTTTTTTTTGTTACTTTAGAACTTTTTCCTATTTAAAACTATTTTTAAAATAAAAAATAAGATAGAAAATAAAAGAAGGAGATTCCATTTTTAAAATTCGGTCGAAAATATATTGACAATTATGAAAATAAAGTCCATAAGTAGTTTTTGAGTTATCTTGTTCGTGGATTATATACTTATCTACATAAATAAAACTGTCTTGAAGCGTGTGTTTGTAATTTCAAATTAACAGCTTTTCACTAAATGTATATGAAAGTATATACGGTAGTTACAAGTCCAACATAAAATTTTTTTTTTATTTTCTGTCTGTTTTTTCTTGCTAATCGCTGAAACGGCGTGACCGATTTTAATGTGTCTTTCACTCGCAAATAGATAATTTTTGTAAGGAGTAACTTAGGCTACTTTTATTTTAAAAATTGTATATATTTTAATAAAAACTTATTAAACTCCACGCGAACGTAGTCGCGGGTACCAGCTTGTATATAATAAAAATGTAACTGATAGCTATATGTATGAGAAATATATGAGAAGAGTTTTTATTGATAACTTTACCAATATTATAGAGGCAGAAACATTAACAGTTAGAATTTTTATATGTTTATTTGTTATCTGAAAAAAAATTAACATTTTATACTAATTTATTTCACTAATTGTAAGATACAATGATAAAATTGATATTATACAAATTACTGTTTAGCGCCATCTACCAATGCGAAGCGAAATTACAAAGTAAGTACATACGTAAGCACATGCTGAAAGAGTAGTTAAATATACAGTTGTTCCAATTAACTACGCAAGATGGCTCTATAAACGATATTAAAGAAAGTGAGATTAAATGAATTGTTATACATATGTATTATAGCTGTACCCGTGACTTCGTCCGCATAGAATTTACCTTTATTTTTCTAAAATAAAAGTTGCCTAAGTTACTCCTTATTACATCAGCTACCTGCTAATAAAAGTCCTGTCAAAATCGGTCCAGTTGTTTCAGAGATTAGCCGGAAAAGACAGACAGACAAAAATTTTTAAAATGTTATTTTTGTGTATGTACCTTATTTATATTCATATACATGTAGTATAAAACGGTTATTTCAGTATTACAAACAGACACTCCAATTTTATTTATATGTATAGATTGTTAGAATTTAGTGAATATCGAAATTCTAAGTACTAAATAATTAGGGACACGCTCATTTATGTATAATAAAGTAATAATGAACTACCAGTCCATACAATTATATAATAACTTGCCTATAGATTTAAAAAGTTTATTATATACGGATGATTTTAATCGCAAACAAAATGATTTTTTATTAAAGAAGTGTTATTATTATATTATTATTATTATTGAATTATAAAATAAGTGTAATAATGGACATGACCTGTAAATTTATTATTATCAAATTGACATTTTTCTTATTAAACATGTATTTCTTTTAGACATAGCATTATTGACGACCTCGGTGGTCCAGCGGTCTAGTACACCGCTTTACGACCGATGGTCGTGGGTTCGATTCCTCACACGGCACAAACATTTGTATTCATGAGTATGATTGTTTGTATCGGTCTGGGTGTTTTCTATATATAATATGTATGTATTTACAAAAAAAAAAAATCTATGTATTTGTATCAGTTATCGCCCGCCCCGGGGGAGGCAAGCGGGTACTGTGAGACTCCTACTCACTAAAAACTCCAAGGTATCCCGACGAAGCGCCTATAGTCGGAGTCGCGAGATCGAATGTCAGTCCACCGCAACTCAGGCGGCGTCGGCCCGCTTTAGTTTGCGAGCCCCTTCGCTTTTATTTTGGGGGTCCACCCCACTTCTCTCGAGAAGGCGCAGGGATACGCGCGCCACCTTCTCGGGCTTTTCTTGGAGATGCGACCGTCCCCGCGGTCACACCTCAGGCCCTTGCGGCGATCAGAGGCGCCCATGCGCCCCTCCAAGGAATTGGCAATCCTATTTTTTTTTTAACGTGTGGAAATTCTTTAAAAGACCGTCACCCCGCCGGAGGGAGGGCGGGGCGGTGTGGGATTTGTACTCACCAAAAACCACACGGTGTACCTACGAGCGCCTATGCCAGAACCAGGTGATTCACATGTGCATTTCGACCCCAGCTCCGACGGCGACGGCTCGCCCTGTAGATGTTGTAGGGCAGGCCTCATCTCGTTACGGTTAGGGCGACCTATTTCGCCCTACTCCTTTGTGGAGGCATGTACAGGCGCACACCTCCGAGGCCATCGAATTAGGGGGCTGCCTAAGGTTTTGGCAACCCTAGTATAAAGTGAGTTTTAATCGTAGCAACAAACGATGACGTATGAAGGTATACGGATATGTCTGCCCATTTTTTTTTGTTTGATTTTTCCATTTCAGGGAAAGGCAAAAGGACTCAGCCTATACAGCCAAAGTCTGGCCATAATTTTATTTACCATCTACTGCTACTCTTCACTTTACCCGTCATCATGGCGGTTGTAACACTGCCAAAATATTAGGAACTCAATAACAATAAGTAATACGTAGTAAGATCCCGTGATTCTCTTAATTTTAGATAAATACGTAAAATTAAGATTTTATGATTGAATTTAGATCTATAGATCCTATATAAATATATAGGATTTACAGATCTAAATTCAATCACAAATAAGATCACAGATAGATCTATGGATTTTGGGCGAAGTATTCAGTAATTAATTGGTCCATTAATTTATCATAATTATTTATGCTGTTACCAAGCTGTATAATGCAAAAACAAAACGAAAATACATTTCCATAAAAAATATTAAATGATTTTTTTTTTTTTCACACAGCGCCATCTAGACAAGTTAAGCTAGCTAAGCTTATGTTATGGGTACTAGATAACTGATACAAATACATGCCTAGATATTTTTTTCGTAAATACATACACTTACATATTATACATAGAAAACACCCAGACCGATACAAACAATCATACTCATGAATACAAATGTTTATACCGTGCGAGGATCGAACCCGCGACCATCGGAAATAAGGCGGTGTGTAAAACTGCTAGACTACCATTCAAAATACATATTAAAAAAATCTAACTTATCTACTACGAAAACATATGAAACTCAGTTATCATGACTCGACCATAATCAAAATACGTAAAAACCGTATCCATTGACAATCAGTTGTATGGTTTTAAAATGACCATACAAATAAATTGTATTTGTTGTTTTAACGCGGTCGATGATCGACCTATTAACCCAGCCAGGGGTGTGTAACCTTTTATCGGTACTATTTATTTCATAATTGTGTGAATATCTTTACAAATTAATAACAATATTGTATTGTAAATGCTGAAGTTGTTTTTTTATAGTAATAACTATTCCTGGATATTAAATTCCAGGCATACTTATACATTACACTACTTGTTTAGTACAGAATTTGGAAGTACATACTTTAAAAATAGAAATTATACATTTTATATATGATGATACAATGATTGAAGTGTATCTGTTGGTATTTAACGACTAAACGGCTGAATCTTTCAATGAAATTTGACATCAATATAGATTGGCAGTGGAGTGGATATGGGCTTCAGTTTATCTCAAATTTTAATATTATTTCATATGTATGTTAGTCTATAAAGTATTTATAATGTCAGCCATTAATAGGCTGAATTGAATAAAGAAATAAATAAAAAGCAGACGAAGTATCATAACATACAAATAAAAAAATAGGTAAATGAACCGTGACAAACAATGAAAATGGTAGATGCTAATCTCAGAATTGGTTACGATATGAACGTACCCACGTTATTCAGCCTCTGATCGAACCCCGTCCGTTCAAACGGGGATCGATATTACGACGGTCTGAGCCGAGGTTCGAACCCCTAGCGGTGCACTCAGACTAAAGTCGTATCTGTCAGGCGAGAGTTGGCCTTCAGCCGCTCCATAAGTCATTCCGCGGGTTTGGAGTGCCTTCTATCGTCCGGTGAAACTCTAAAGGCCAGCTTCGGCCAATAGCTTTAGAGTAGTTCCAAAAAAAATAACAATAGCTATTACTTTAATTTTGCAACAGTTTTGAATGGCCCAAAAACTAAATGAAAGTTACTTTAGTTAAAATGCACCAAAATCGGTTAAACAGTTTCTAAAATTATCGCGCACAAAAACACGTATGTAAAAAACCATGTATATAAATAATGATTTTTTCAACTTCTATTACGTTGATAAAGTCCCTCATAATAGATTGTGGTTTTTCTGATATCTTTCATGATCAGATTCATTTTTTTTTTATACAGAATACGCCCGAAATACCCCGGCTTCTCACTGGTGTACATGTATTATATTATACTATGTAACTAGCAACTCGCACCGGCTGCGCACGAGTGTACATATATTATACATACAAACCTTCCTCTTGAATCACTCTATCTATTAAAGAAAACAGCTTCAAAATCCGTTGCATAGTTTTAAAGATTTAAGCATACATAAGGATAGACAGCGATTTGTTTTAGCTATGTAATGATATAGATACGCGTACATTTATTATACATATAAACATTCCTCTTGAATCTCTCTATCTATTGCTAAAAATTGCACTACAATCCGTTACGTAATTTAAAAGATATAAGCGAACAGAAGTATAGATTCAAATTAAAAACTCGCATCTTATGCGACTTTTTTCTTGACTCTACAATTTAAATTAAAACAATAAAAATGTCACTTAGCGGTAAAAATAGTTGTGTACATCTGCACATAATTCAACATTCGCGGCGACCTTTGCGCATGCGTCCAACACCGGTCTAGTCGTCGGCGCCCGCGCATCCCGCTGGACGCACCGGTTCCGTTTCCGTTACAAAACTAGTTCGAATTTCAAATCGACGTATTCGAATTCTTATTTTTTTTATTACGAATCTAGTGTGCCAGTGTTAATACGTTTTAGAAATACATCGATATATTTTGTTTTTAATTACGCTTTTGCTTTCCATAGATTTAAGTTCATGCCCTTTTTGTTTTAAATCGACGCATTCGAATACTATTTTTTTATTACGAATCTAGTGTGCCAGTGTTATTACGTTTTAGAAATTCATCACTATATTTTGTTTTTAATTACGCTTTTGATTTCCATAGACTAAAGTCTATATAGTTTTTGCGTGTTGTTTCAAATTCTATTTGTTAGTTCGTTTCCTTCTTTTGTTACGCGAAAAGTATTGTGTCAAGTGTGTGTATAGTAGTGTAATTGTCTTTTTTTTATACACTGTTAATTAATAGTGTTTTGAGGCTTTGGCACCGGGAGACTTTGGCTTTGTTGACCGTTGATAAATCAATATTGAAACTTTAATAATAATGATCAAGGAATTATAATTTGATACGAAAATGTGGTTTGTTTTATCAACTTTGGCATTGTGTTCACGATATTATATAGCAGCTGGATTATCAGATAACATTACCAGGTATTACATACACATATATATTATTATTTTATTAATATTAAGATTTTTAGTCAACTGGCAAAAAGGAATTTTAAAATTTATTTTTAATATTACTTAAGATTATTAGTTAATTGTCGAGTGGTTTTTTTGTTTTTTTTTTTTAATGTTAATATTTTTTTCAACTATCAAATGAAGGTTTTTTAATGCATGATAATGGAATGATGTCCCCGCCTGCGCTAGCGGTTTACGCTGCGGGGCACCAGTGGTGGATGATGAGGTCAGGTCAGTTAGCCCATCGTGGCAAAATCATACAGAATTTATCACGATGGTCTCCAGGGGGACTGCGTGGAGGCACGCTGACATGGTACTTTGCTAGCAATAGAGTCAACAGACCACACTACTGACAATTCCTAAAGTTTATGAGGACGGTTTATGTTTTGATATACCTAATATGTACAAGGATAATTCACACAGCGCCATCTAGATCCAAGCTAAGCAGAGCTTGTTTTATGGGTACTAAATAATGATACAAATTTATACTATATTTTTTGTCAATCTATACATCTATACATATAAATAAATGGAATGTCTGTTTGTAATATAGAAATAACCGTTTTTTACTACATGTAGGTATATGAATATAAATACGATACATACACCAAAATATATTTTTTTACAATTTTTGTCTGTCTGTCTGTTTGTTCCTGCTAATTTCTGAAATAGCTAAACCGATTTTGACGGAACTTTTATTGGCAGGTAGCTGATGTAATAAGGGGTAACTTAGGCTACTTTTATTTTAGAAAAATAAAGTTAAATTCCACGCGGACCAATTTGCGGGTACATAAATATGTAAATACATGAAAACATCCACACTGATCCAATTATACGCATGAATATAAATGTTTGTATCTTGTGAGGAATCGAATCCGCGACCATGGGAAGATGGTGTACTAAACCGCTAGACCACCGAGGCCGAGTTAATATTCAAGTAATAAGATTAATTAATTCAATCTCACTGAGACCCTCCAGATTCCCACGAGCGAGAAATTAAATAATCACGGCAGATTTCCTCTCGCGGCGCACGTCGAGAAAGCTGGCAGTTGACTCTATGGAATATCTAGATTGCGAACTGATAACACTGTTTCTAGACAGGTATTGGTTTGATCATAAAGACATACATTGCTATCGGATATAGAACCTCCTCCTATTTTGAAGTCGGCTAAAAATGCAGTAAAAAAAAATTATGTGAAAGTTGTTGAGTATGTATGGACCCACAATTTTGCGTCTTTGCAAAATCTACTGAACGGATTTTGATGAAACTTTACAGTAATATAGCTTATACATCAGAATAATAAAACACAATGGGGTGCACAAATTCAAAGTCTTGCAGCGAAATTGAGTTCAGCAGCTTTTGCCGTGCGTAAGGTTAGACAGTACACTGATACTGATACTGCTAGATTGGTCTATTTCAGTTATTTTCATAGTTTACTCTCTTATGGAATATTATTATGGGGAACAGCGGCAGATATTAAAAATATATTCATGTTACAAAAACGTGCCATTCGAGCGATCTACTGTATGAAGAGTCGTGACTCATTAAGAGAGAAATTCAGAGGCAAATATTCTCACCGTTGCTTCTCAATTTATATATTCAAATATCCTATATGTTCATAAAAATCTTGACTTATTTCCAAAAAACAGCAATATTCATAATATTAATACTAGATTTAAAGACAAACTTGCTGTCCCCAAGTATCGTTTAGAAAAAGTTAATAGATCTTTTATGGGAATAGGTATAAAATTTTACAATAAGATACCAAAGGATATATTGGAATTACCCTTAAATAAATTCAAAACATCTGTTAAATCATATTTACTGAGCAAGGCCTATTACTCACTAAACGATTACTTAAATGACAAGCGTGCATGGCAATAGTTTTCATGTTCGGGATTTTCATTTAATGTTAGACATAGACACCTATATAAATACCTATGCATTGTAAATAAACTGGATTTAAAAAAAAAGTAATTCAATTGAGTTTCTTGCCAGTTCTTCTCAATTGGATCTATATACCGAACTGGACGGTAGGGAAAAAAATTATAATGTAAAAACTTGACGTTCATAAGCGGCTGAAATGTCTTACATGAATAAATGATTTTTAATTTGAATTTGAATAATATTGGCTAAACATGCGGGTAAAACCACTGGCACAGCATTTCCTCAGAAAACTCTGGTGATAAATTCCTGGTGAATGTACCACAATGGGTTAACTGACCTGACATCATGTTCATCTTATCATCCTCCACTGGTGCCCCCGCCAGCGTTTACCGTTAGCACAGCTGGACGCATCATTCCATTATGATTCATTAAAAAAAATCATTTCTATCAGAATCATAGCCTATGTGATAGGCTATAATTTAAAAAGATATTATGTGTAATACAGCGCGATTGCTAGCGCAGGTCAGTTAATATATAATCATTTCCCCGATCCATTTGAATGGAGAGAGAATAATGAAACTTTTCCTTATTCTTCATTTCTCTGCGTAGATATTCAGTAAAATGAAAATTCACCTCGCCAATAGCAAAACAAGCTGTATAACGCCTTTAGTCTTGGCAATTTGCAAACAAATGAAACAAAACAATGGCGATCCGAATGAAGTTTATTCAGCACTGGGCTCCTTCAGTGGGAAATTGGATATGTTTTTCTCTGAATGAAGTGGCCGACGTGAATTGCAGATAGTGTTACGTTTGTTTTATCTGACTGTTTTAAATGAAGAAGCAAATGAGACCAATGTAAATAAATCTGTTCGTTATAACGCACTTAAAAAATCGAGAACATTCTCGAATATTTTTTTTTAATTGAATTAATATAAATAAAATTGGAGTGTCTGTTTGTAATATTGAAATAACCGTTTCTTACTACATGCATATGAATATAAATACGGTACATACACCAAAATAACATTTTTTACAATTTTCATCTGTCTGTCTGTTTGTTCCGGCTAATCTCTGAAATGGCTGGACCTATTTTGACGGGTCTTATTTAACTTTATATATAATTTAACTTTATTTTTCTAAAATAACCTATCAAGGTTATTTTAGAAAAATAAAGTTAAATTACACGACGAATTCGCGGGAACAGCTAGTGTAAAAATAAAAATCATTTGTGTGATTCATTTTCGCATATATAATTGTTCAATATTATTAATTTTAAACAAAACCACTGACGATAACACATGTTCTCAGCTATATTAACAGCACTGTGCCCATATCCGTTCATGAACTTGATAAAAACTCTTTATTCTCTAGAATAAAAAACTTAAAACAAAAGAATTTACCGGTTCAGTTCTCGTGATTAGTAATTTCGTACGGTCTTTATAGAATAGAAAATCATTTATTCAAATGAACTTAATTTAAACACTTTTGAATAGTCAACATTTTTTTCAAATCTACCGCTTATTCGGAAAGCTGTCTCATCACAAGAAGAATAAGCAAGAAACTTGTGTGTTGCTTATATTATCTTTATATATAAAAATTGCGTGTCACGTTGTTTGTCCGCGATGTACTCCTAAACTACTGAACCGATTGCAAATTTGATTTGCACATTGTGTGCAATTTGATCCAACTTGACAGATAGGATAGCTTACATCTCAATTTATAGTCGCAATATTATTTTATTCAAGAACCTTAGTCACAACAACGCATGGCCGGGTCTGTCTACGGTTGAAAATATTAAATATATTTTCAACCGTATTGAAAAAAGGAGAAGGTACTTAATCCAATGAGCACAACATAACTGAATCTGTTCTTTATGACTGACTTCAAAAAAAGGAAGTACTCAATTCAAATTATTTTTTAATTTCTTTAAATAATTATTATATACGAGTATAAGTAAGAAATTACTCATTATATCATTTACATAACTTAATTATACAACTACAACCTACAATTAAAAAGCTTAAAAAAATATAATACAATAACTAAAATATATTATTAAAAGGGGTCCCTTTAGGCAAAGTTCCGAAGATACTGGCAGCGTTCCCTCTTTGAATAGCTAGACTAATTCTTTGTCCAAGGTAGCTGCCAGCTCTTCGGTCTTCAGTGATGTCGACTAACCTTTTCGTTATTTCTTTGAAAAGTCTTATAGCGCTAGGACCCCACGGACCAAGGGTCTCGACACCGAATGGGACAAAATCATATTCGGAGCCTAGACCCCTGTAATTATATGCTTTGGCTTTTTCAGCCGCTTCACACGCCGCACCAGCTCTGTTGTTGGTTCCACGTAGATGGGATGGGGCCAGCGTATCTGAACAGGCTGCATCCCATACCAGCACCCGGCCCATCTTCCATGGAATCAAACTCATACCGTCCGGTCTCTTGACATCGTCTCTTGCAATACCAGTGGCGAGGGACCGGCGTATGATTTTTTAATTGAATAATATTTATATGTTATAATAAAACAAGAATCCCGCCATTGTGCCCATATCCGTTCATGAACTTAATAAGAACTCTTTATTCTCAAGAAGAAACAAAAGAATATACCGGTTCAGTTCTCGTGATTAGTAATTTTGTACGGTTTTTATGTTTTTGTTTATATAGCGATGTTAGTCACAGTAGTGATTGCGGGGGCCATTTTTTTTTTTAGTAATAGTAATAATATAAAGTAATATAAATAAGTAATAATATAAAAAAATATAATAAGTTTGATCATGTCTGTCTATCGTAAGCAACTTAATTGGCTTCCTATTCGTGACCGTCGTAACATCCATTTGCTTACCCTTTTATATCAGATCCTTTACAACTCTAGTTCGCCCATGTACCTGCAGGAAAGATTCCGGCTACGGACTGATGACCGTCTTCGTTCCAGTCATAATCTAGTTTTGGCAATACCGTGTCATACGAGTCATTGTTATACTAACTCCTTTACAATACAGTCTGCTCGACTTTGGAATGCTTTGCCGACGGAGGTCAGATTGTCTTCATCGGTTTACTCTTTTAAGGCTCGCCTTAAAAAACTTTGGAGTCACACTGCAGATGCGCTGTTTTAGTATTCTTCATATATATATATTTTTTTTTATAGTAATATTGTTTTTTATATATTTCTGCTGTTACTATTTATACATTTGTTATTTTATTATTATTATTTTATATATATATAGGTATATGTAATTATATATTATACTTAAATATTTATTTAATATTCTAGTTGTTATATATTATAGTTATATAATGCGTTTGCTTCTTTTTCCTTTGTTATTATTGTCATGTATATATATAGTCCCACCACTCCACAATTCCTTTCAGTCATTCAAAGGTTGACTGGAAGAAATCCCTCATTTGGGATAAGTCCGCCATTGTACATCTTATATATATTTTTTTTAAGATCGTGTATCTTTAGTTAATTTAAATGTATTTATTGTGCAATAAAGTGTTACAAAAAAAAAAAATAAATAAATTTATTTCATTAACATAGATGTTTTCCAATTTTTTTTTAATTGCGGCCGCCATTTTGAATTTATGACGTCATAAACTAAGTTCTCATTATTGGTCTTCTAGTGAGATCTTCCAAAGCTACTCAAACACTCATGCTGGTCTCTGGAAACTAATTCCGATACAGTAACATAGGTTTTTGCCTTGTTTTGAGGGGTTAGAGCTATAACTAGGTGTTTTAGACCTATAACACTGCGATTTATGGAGATCTATTTTTTTTTATGGATGATAATGAATGGTCACCCGCCTGCACTAACGGTTTACGCTGGCGGATCACCAGTGGAGGATGATAAGATGAGCATGAGGTCAGGTCAGTCAGCCCATCGTAACAAATTCACTAAGAATTTATCACGATGGTTTCCAGGGGGAACCGCGTGGAGGTCAAACTGACATGGTATATTGCTAGCAATGAGATTATCACTCCACATTACTTACAATCTACTTTCCCCCCTATGGAGATCTATTGTTCTCGCCATTTTTTAAGACATCGCTTCCTAGGCCCGTCAGGAAATATAAAATAATTTCAAATATAACTATACAATAACTGCCACAGTGGGCTATTGTTAGTAGTTATTGCTAAGTTATTAATAGATTTTTTTTTATTTTTTTATACAGAATTATTTTAAATATACAATGTTAGTACATATATATATAGATACAGATGAAAATCATCAGTCAAGTTTTAGAATGTTATTTTATAATAACACTAGCAACTCGCCCTGGCTTCGCACGGGTGTACATGTATTATATATATAAGCCTTCCTCTTGAATCACTCTATCTATTTAAAAAAACAGCTTCAAAATTAGTTGCGCAGTTCTAAAGATTAAAGCTTACATAGGGACGGACAGACAGCGAGGGCGACCAGTCCAAAGCTAAGCACAGCTTATGTTAAGGGTTCTGAACAACTGATAAAAATACTTATATCATTTATAGTATCAAATAGATGTGGAATTTAACTTTATTTTTCTGAAATAAACGTTGCCTAAGTTACTCCTTATTATATCAGCTACCTGCCAAAAAAAGTCCCATCAAAAACGGTCCAGCCATTTCAGAGATTAACCGGAACAAACAGACCAATAGTCAGACAGATAAAAATTGTAAAAAATGTTATTTTGGTGTATGTACCGTATTTATATTCATATGCATGTAAAAAAAAACGGTTATTTCAATATTACAAACAGACACCCCAATTTTATTTATATGTATAGATGACATGGGTGTTATGGGAGTCTACATAATGATTACGTCATCGCTAGTTATTTACTTTTTTACACGAATGGCAACCCTCACATCGTCTTTGCTAAAAAAACAATACATTAATTGAAAAATGTTTACGTAAGCATGGGGGAGGGGGTAAGAGCTTTGCTTACTTTGCTGACGAGGGGATGGGGGGGGGGGTAAATAATATTAGGCACATTGATTGAAGTAGAAAAAGTATAATCCATCACATTTAAAATAAGTATTGTTGCTAAGTAACAGTTTGTATGTAACGTGCAACTGCAATCGGAACGAAGTAAATAGGTCCAACAGAAATTGTTAGTATTTTAACAGATTTAATTTTGGATATGTTTTTTGCTAGTAGTTCTATTGTTTACTCTTCTGTATATTGTTTTATATTATGTATGTTATTTAAATGTAGAGATGTAGAATGTCTTAAATGTAATGGATTAAGGGACCGTATTAGGCACATTGATTGAAGTAGAAAAAGTATAATCCATCACATTTAAAATAAGTATTGTTGCTAAGTAACAGTTTGTATGTAACGTGCAACTGCAATCGGAACGAAGTAAATTATATTTACAACTGTATACGTAATCCACTGAATATCTCTATCAAATAATTGTAATAAATCTGCTTACGTAATACTTGAACTTCTACCATCCTGATCATCTGGATGAATGGCGGTCCTCCACAATGCGGTTTTCTAGAAACGTTTTTGCCACGCACAACCACATTGTGGAATCACCTTCCAGCAATGGTATTTCCGAACCGATACGATATTGAAACCTTCAAGAAAAGAGCTTATTCCTTTTTAAAAGGCCGACAACGTACTTGCAATTCCCCTGATGTTGCGGGTGCATATGGGCGGCGGTAATTACTTACCATCAGGTGAGCCGCATGCTCGTTTATCCCCTGTGTTAAAAAAACAAAAAATCACCTGACCTTACCTCTACCTTTCAGCAACCCCTATCACTTACCATCAGGTGAGCCGCATGCTCGTTTGTCCCCTGTGTTAAAAAAACAAGAAATCACCTGACCTTACCTCTACCTTTCAGCAACCCCTGCACGGACCGGAACCATCTGTTCCTGGTCCCTGGGGTTCTCACAGCTGGCGGGACCAACCGAGCTTGCATCTCCAGGTTCCACACTCAAGGTCCTGTTCATGTGCTGCTCACACTTCGGACGGGGGACGAGAATCCGGTAACGATATCAAGAAAACTGCCGCCAGGTAAAATTGGTCTACTTATTTAGATAATCTGTGTTATATATAACTAGCTTTTTCCCCGCGACTTCGTCCGCGTGGATTTTAACTTTAATTTTCTAAAATAAAAGTAGCCTAAGTTACTCCTTATTACATCAGCTACCTGCCAAAAAAATCCGTCAAAATCGGACCAGCCATTTTAGAGATTAGCCGGAACAAACAGACAGACAGACGAAATTTGTAAAATGTGTTATTTTGGTATATGTACCATATATATATTCATATGCAAGGAGGTAAAAACGGTTATTGTACTGTATTATAAAAAAAAAATCTATTTAGTAGTTTTTGCGTGAAAGAGTAACAAAAAATTTCATCCATGCTCACAAATTTTCGTATTGTAATGCAAGTAATTCATTTCTTTTTCTTCGTTTTTCTTTTTGCAGGTGACGGTGGATGTTTTGAAATTGCCGTACCTCAGAAGCCGAACACAAAGGCTGACTTAATAGTTAACGTGAGGTAAGAAGTAGTCGTAATTGTGCTGATGACACGCAAAACCGGGGCTATAAATAAGTTTCAGCAGAGGTATTCTGTAAGCTTGTAGCAACTCACTAGCTACTCGACTCGGGTACATGTATTATATATATAAACCTTCATCTTGAATCACTATCTATTAAAAAAAACCGCTTCAAAATCCGTTGCGTAGTTTGAAAGATTTAAGCATACATAGGGATGGACAGACAGCGACAGCGACTTTGTTTTATACTATGTAACTAGCTACTCGCACGGGTGTACATATATTATATATATAAACCTTCCTCTTGAATCACAGTATCTATTGAAAAAACCGCTTCCAAATCTGTTGCGTAGTTTTAAAGATATAAGCATACATAGGGTCAGACAGCGACAGCGACTTTGTTTTATACTATGTAATGATATATTTGATTTGAATAGATTACATTATTCTTAGGAATAAATACATAGACGGCCTCGGTGGTCTAGCGGTTTAGTGCACCCTACTTCCGATGGTCGCGGGTTCGATTCCCCAGCATAAACATTTGTATTCATGATAATGATGACGATTGTTTGTATCGGTCTGAATTCTATGTATAATACGAAAACAAAAAACTATGTGTTTGTATTAGTTTATATTATTATCTGAATTTATTTTTGCAATATTGTTTATTCGAGAACCTTAGCCACAACGCTTGGCCAGGTCTGGTAGTTATTTTATATGAGGTTAGTTCATCAGATATTTATTATATAGGTCACTAGCTACTCATCCCGGCTTCGCCCGGGTGTACATTTATTATATTGTACATATAAACCTTCCTCTTGAATCACTGTATCTATTAAAAAACCGCTTCAAAACCCGTTGCGTAGTTTTAAAGATTTAAGCATACATAGGGACAGACAGCGACAGCGACTTTATTTTATACTATATAATGATAAATATTCTGAAATAAATGATATTATAGTTCATGAAAAAATATCTCTACGTCGATCGTTGTACTGCCTCAGTCTACTCCATTAAGGATAAGAGTCGTGAAGGGTATGATTGTTTTAAGAAACAACTGTTCGGCAGATATCCAGAAGCAATATGCACATGGGAACGGCAGCTGACAGTTCGTATATCCGGCGGGAAGCTGCTGTTGGTTCACACTGACCGAGCGCGGTACAAGCCTGGAGACACCCTGAGGATACGGGTCTTCGCATTAAAAGCTCATCTTGGAGCAGCAACAGGGTTGGTGAGTAACGGTAGGGAAAAAACATCATTGCCAAAATAGAAATAGAAATAATCTTTATTCAAATAAACTCATTACAAGCACTTTTGAATAGTCATATTTTGATTCTACCACTCATTCGGAATGCAGATTCATCGCAAGAAGAATGAGCAAGAAACTTGTGTATTGCTCTTTTTAATAGATGTTTTTTTTATATAAATAATTACAGTATAACAAGTAAGAGGCATGCGATAATCAACATAGAAATCGCTACGCACTCATTATTAGTGTAATGAAACATTATCATCGTATTCCTTAACTTAATTGCCATACTTTTATCCCATTATTTGTGGTCGGCAGTATGTCATTCTCTACCACAGATCTCTATCGGTCGTCATATCTGAGCATACTCTTCTTTTATTAAATCATCTTTCACACAATCCATCCATCTTTTCTTAGGGCGTCCCCTCTTTCCATCCATCCACATTCATATTATACACCTTTCCATAAGACATGAACCTCGTTCCTCCTCATAACATGCCCATAGCAGCAATTTGTTACCTCGCAACTTGTCTATAACTGGTGCAACTTTCAAACTTCCTCGTATATACTCATACACCTTATTATTTACAAAAAAAATTACGTTCGGACCAAAATGTCCTACATGAATAAATGATTTGATTTGATTTGAGTAGACGAGTTAGAATTTATACTAAACGCACCGAGCGGTTCGAAAGTTGAAGTTGAAAGATTAACAGTCATCCATCTGAGTATGGATGGATGATTGATGTATCCATCCATACTCACAAACTTTCGCGTTTGTAAGTAAGAATATTAGCAAACAAAAATAAAATAATAACCTAAAAATTACGCGTACAAAATCGCTGACGAAATTAGTTTTTTTTTAATCTATATATGTCAAATCACACAATTGTTTAGTACATTCGTATAAAAATAAACGACGCTCAAGTGAAAAAAAAAACATAAGCAGGTAACGACATTGTCACCATACAGCTATAAATTCGAACAGAAGTTCATAATAAAACGCTTACAATTGCAATAACCTTATTATGAACAAGCAAATGACATGTATTTAATAGTCATGTGTAATTTACGAATGAACTAGTTCGGAACAGCGCTCCGAAAGAACTACTATGCGAACTATTTCGCAGATCACTCTTTAATATGTTTATTAAAATACAATTTTTTAAACTTCATTAGTATTTCACTGCTTGGCAAAGGCTTTCTAATCGTTTTCGTCTCCAACTATACTTATATGGCAAAAAAAATAGACACTTGCGGTTTCATATTTGCGGTATCTGATAATAATATCATATTTTACAACATTTATTTTATAAAATAGTGGAAGATATAAAATAAGAAACAAATACAAATTACAATTTTTCATCTTTTATTCTTATATTTAGACATCATATCGCAATAAAAGCAAGAACGTACTATGAACACTAGAAGCCTGATTTGCAGCATGAAAAACTCAAAGATACTTAAACCGTATCAATCAATATAAGTGAGATTCACTTATATTTACTGATAATCTACTGCATTTCTCGGACACGAGTCAGGAGCGAACGAACTAGAGCGTACAAGAGCTGCGAACTATCGAACGTTCCAAATCGTGAACTATTATGCGCATGTCTAGTATTTAGCGTAACACTGACACAGATTCGCGGATGATACCTACATATACAATGTAGATATGCAAATATTTATTATTGACCTCCATGAGGCTCCGTGTCCGGATAATGAGTACAGCTAGGGTTCCCACTATACTATAAAACGAGTTAAATGTATAATAATGTGATAATAATAATAAATTAATTCTTCTCAATTGGATCTATATACTGAACTTTAACGTTCATAAGCGAGTAAAATTTCCTACATGAATAAATTATTTTTGAATTTGGATTTGAATAATAATGACATGTATTTATAATTGCCCTGACAATTTTTTTTTAATTAAATTATTTAATATTTTCCATGCCCATTGAGGCAAAACATTATGGGATATTATATTCTACAATTGCAACCAATGTTTATCGCATATAAATTTGATTTGATTTGATTTACTTAAGTACTGTTTTTTTTTTGTATACATACATATACCATATCAGAAGTACTATATTTTTATAATCTAAATACAAATATAACAATAACATTGTTTAATTAGATTTTGCACCAAACATGACTTACGACAAACACTTCGAGACCAGATAATTGCTAAACGATGGCAAAAGAAGAGTTAAACAAGACAAGTTCTAGAAGAATTATATTTTTTCTTTAAATAAAGTCGACAGCCCTAACTACAGCAGCTACAGCCATAGCAGGTGTATTCTGTTGGGTGGACGAAATGTCATTCGATGGAATAATAAAACTTACATTATCAATGCTTTTTTATTATTTCATATGTATGTTAGTCCATAGGGTATTTATAATATGGGTCATGTAGCTTGTATAGATTATCCAATTTATTTCAATAAAGATTATTTCTAATATTTCTTCAAATAAATTCAACACAGACACTTGAATAGTCATATTTTTGATCCTACTGCTCATTCGGAACGCAGATTCATTACAGGAAGAATAAGCAAGAAACTTAAGTGTTACAAATAATTACACAATAACAAGTAAGAGGCATACGATAAACAACATAGAACCGCTACGCTCTCATTCTTAGTGCAATCAGATAATATTATCAGCGTTGAATTTTAAGTTTTCCTATAAAAAACCATTATTATCCTTAACTAACTCTTCAATTTTATAACTAAAATGTGACATGTGGCAGCGTGGTGGGCCGGGTCATTGGGCTCCCTAAAATATGGTCGAGCGCAGTGATGGCTGGCTCATCCGTTATACTCGTGAACGAGTGCTGCTTGTAGGGACTGGTCTGCTCTTATCACTACGACTGATTTAATCTTATTGCATATTTATATTTGACCCAAAAAATTTGCGCTTGTTGGTAGTTTGTATTCACACATTTCGACTTGTAAATGTAAACTTACAAGGATTATTTAAAAGAGCAACACACAAGTTTCTTGCTCGTTCTTCTTGTGATGAGACAGCTTTCCGAACGAGTGGTAGATAAAAAACAAATTGTTATGACTATTCAAAAGTGCTTAAATTAAGTTTATTTGAATAAATGATTTTTTATTCTATTCTATTCTATTCTTATAATATGCTTTTTTACAAAGGAATTTTTTTATACAAATCTTTATTCAGGCAAATTTAGAACAGACTCTGGTAGTTTGTTGTAAAACGTTACGCAATTACCATAACATTATTAAATTAATTAATTAATTTAATTATCTCTACTGTACTAATATATCTTATATATAAAATTCTCGTGTCACAATGTTAGTTACCATACTCCTCCGAAACGGCTTGACAGATTTTAATAAATTTTATATGCATATTCAGTAGGTCTGAGAATCGGCTACTATCTATTTTCCATACCCCTAAGTAATAAGGGTTGTCCACCCCTCGCATTTTTTTTTTTACAAAATATTTTATTTTTATTTTTTATAATGTGGAATTAAAAATTAGATACACCCCAAAATTTTTACTCTTCTACCATGAACCCCTATTTTTAATTTCGATTTTAATTTTATGCCAAAACAATGTTTACAGGGTCAGCTAGTTTTTTTTATAATGGATAAGAATGGAACATTTATAAATTTCTAGATCAACGAAATCTGGCTCGAAGGACCAAGCGGCGCTTGGGACGGCGCCCGCGCATATCAGTGGTCGAACGTGTCCAGTCAGATGGGTATAGCGCAAGTACAATACAACATCGATGAACAGGCTCCCACTGGAAAATGGACTGTCAGAACCAAACTTGCAGATGGATCTCAGGTCAGTATATCTATACATATCTATACATCTATACATATAAATAAAATTGGAGTGTCTGTTTGTAATATTGAAATAACCGTTTTTTACTGCATGCATATGAATATAAATACAGAATATACACCAAAATACCACTTTTTAAAATTTATGTCTGTCTGTCTGTCGTTCTGTTTGTTCCGGCTAATCTACGAAACGGCTGAAACGATTTTAAAGGGATTTTTTTTGGCAGGTAGCTGATGTAATAGGGAGTAACTTAGGCTACGTTTATTTAAAAAAAAAATTTAAAAATATTTTGGTGTATGTACCGTATTTATATTCATATGCATGTAGTAAAAAACGGTTATTCCAATTTTACAAACAGACACCCCAATTTTATTTATATGTATATATATACAAATGCCTACATATACGCGATTTCCACTTCAGATTACACACTTACTATCAGGCGGGCCGGTTGCCTTTCCAATAAAATAAAGTAAGTCAAAGATGAACGTAAAATCCAATATTTCATTTTCAGGGCTCAGCTGTGTTTTTGGTGGGCAACTATGAACTACCACCTTTTCAAATGAGCGTTCTCCATCCAGCTAAAGTTTTAAGGACCAGCGAGAGACTGGTTTGGACTGTTTGTGTTAGGTACAGTAACCTTATATTATTAATAATATAATTATAATAATAATAAAGATGATGCAGAAAGCGGTGCTGTTAGATTCTGCCCGCATTGTACGCCGGTTTCTCTCCCTGGGGCCCTGAACCCCGGCCGACTGTGCTTCTACCGGGGGTATGTTGCCATCTCCTCTCCTAGAGGGGAGATGAGAATATTTGGATAATAATAATAATAAACTTTATTAATAAATGCACGGTACAATTAAATATAGTTAGCCCTGGCTTTCGATTTAGGTGAACCTGTGCCACGAAGGCCAGTTCCCTCCAACATTCTGTAAACATTTTTGGTACATCTGCTGTTGTGTACATAAAGAAATGAGAAAAAAAAACTTAAATATTTTTGAATACAAAAAATATGTATAAAAGTGTCGCTATTCTTTTTGACATACTAGATTGTACTGAACTTTAACTTAACATAGTGTAGAGAGAATTATTTAGAATAGTAATAATATTATTTAGTATAGTAAATGAGCTAAGTCAAAAATCTTGAGAATATTACGAAATTGAACTTTGTACCCTCCGTGTTATGAAACCTTGTTTAGGTTTCATAACACGGAGGGTTTTGAGAGAAGACAACACGTTCTGGTCGTCCTGTGAAACTGCCTCGACGTCTAAACCTGTGATTTATTTTTATTTTATTGTTGTTCTTTAGCATTGCGCACACGCAAGGTGGGGTGTATGTTATGAAACCTCTTTTTAGTTTAATTTTTATATTTAAAAAGTTATGTATTATAAAATTATTATTGCAAAAAAGTGACATTATATTTTTCTTTCGAAATTTCCTAAAATATTTTATTTCTATATATAAATCCATTCGTCCTATGTACCTGCTGTCCCAGAACCTATTATCATATATCATATATCACAACATCATCGAATTATCCAATCCATCACACTCCGATTGAAACGGCTATCGAAATAATGACGGCCTAAACTGTGGTTCGAACCCCCAACGATCAGGCAGGAGTCGAGCAGTGGTCTTCAGCCGCTCCATAAGTCCTCCCTTTGGTTTGGAGTGCCATCTGCACTAGCCTCCTATCGTTCGAATTTGTAAACACCAGCTGCGGCCAATAACTTTAGAATTGAAAATTGCGTATTCATTTTAGCCGTAGAGCTGCTTGCTTTTTAAGATGTGTTTAAAATGAAAAGAGTGGGTTTATTTAATATTTTGATATTAAAAAAACTCACTCATTTGTTCACACTTGGAAAAAAAGGGTTCTGTTGAACAGCGCTGTACAAGAGCATTCCGCACAACTTCGCTTGCATCACACTTAGTTGATATTTATCAATATATTTTCGCAATTATCATAATATGTTTTTAAATTATATCCTACGTGTTATTCTGATGTATAAGCTATATTACTGTGAAGTTTCATCAGAATGCGTTCAGTAGTTTTTGCGTGAAAGAGTAACAAACATCCACCCATACTCACAAATTTTCGCATTTATAATATTAGTAAGATATGGTACAGTATCATTAAAAAAAAGTTCCACATCATCAGATATCCATGGAGTGAAGCAACGGAAGGCATGCTAGTGATCAGGATCAGAGGTGCCGGCTTCACGAGCAGCGGGGGCATCAGAACAGCTGAACAGCTGCGGGCACCGGACGCCTGTCATCACCACGCTATTGCTGCCAAGCGAATTGGACTTCACGATCCTGACTCCCCAGATGTTGTGATTGCTGATTTCTCTTTCCAGGTACAAAATAAATACATATTTAAAAAAATGTTAGGACAATTTCACAGCGCCATCTAGTCCCAAACTAAGTAGAGCTTGTGTTATGGATACTATAGATCAGGGTAGGCGAGCATTTATGCATCAACGTGCCATTTTTTCCAAAAAATGGTTAATGGGGTCATTGACATGCCATCAAATAATTTAGACTTTCTGATTATTTGGAAAATAATAATATCAAAACTCTATATGAAATATAGTGAACAAAAGAGGTACATTTTGGATTGTTTTCATTACACGCATAAATTAAATTACTGTAAAATTAGTGTGACTTCTGTTGCTGCAGGTTAGATGACAAATAATTTATGTCAGGTATGATGATCCACTCTAACGGAATACGTTGGGTCACCAGTGAAGAATTATAAGATGAGGTCAGGTTAGGTCAGTTAGCTATAATAGTAAGAAATAATAATAACTTTTTTTTTTATCTTTAAAAGCTACACAGATATAATAATTATAAAAATATCTGTGCAACCGTGATTTTGTCCGGGTGGAATTTAACTTTATTTTTCTAAAATAAAAGTAGCCTAAGTTACTCCTTATTACATCAGCTACCTGCCAAAATGTTCCGTCAAAATCGGTCCAGCCATTTCAGAGATTAGCCGGAACAAACAGACCGACAGATAGACAGACAAAAATATGTTATTTTGGTGTATGTACCGTTTATATTCGTAAAAGTTGTAAAATATGTTATTTTATTCATAGGCATGTAGTAAAAAACGGTTATCTATTTGTAATATTATCAATATTACAAATAGACACTCCAAATTTTATTTATATGTATATGAGTACAACTAGTATACTAGTATAGTAATAATATAAGTATGTTTTTCTAATTTCAGGAGACGGGAACTGGTATCTGGCAGAATACGACCGTGATATCCCAAGTAGTGGATCAAGCCATATCACTAGAGTTCCAAACTAAACACCGCACTGCCATTTCACCAGGAATTCCTTACTTTTTAAAGGTATATATATATGTCTATCCTTCTAACAAGTTTTCTATATATATGTTGTATGCTGGAGGAATATTACTATATTTAACTTGTTGTATTAATGAAATAAAAAATGGTTAGAATTTATTGTACACTGAATTTGGTAGTGATGCCACGGAATGTTCGAGAAGAAGTGAAGAAATGTAGATATATAAAGTAAAGAATAGAATAGAATAGAAAGTCATTTATTCAAATAAACTTACATTGAAGCACTTTTGAATAGTCATTACATTTTTTTAATCTACCGCTCATTCGGAAAGCTGTCTCATTACAAAAAGAACGAGCAAGAAACTCGCGTGTTGCTCTTTTAAATAATTTTATTATTACTTTACATTTTAAGTTTAAGTGTGTGAATACAAACTACCAATTAGCACTAATTTAATTAAATACTCAAATAGAAAAAAATATTGAATATATAACCAACTGGTTAAACAATTAATAAGAGGATATCAGTCATAGTGATTGAAGCAGACCAGTCCCTACAAGCAGCACCCGTTCACGAGTATGATGACGAGGTGTCTATGTCTATCATTAAATGAAAATTCAGTGCATGAACAACTATTGCCATGCACGCTCGTTATTCAAGTACCTAATCGTTTAGTGAGTAATAGGCCTTGCTCAGTAAATATGATTTAACAGATGTTTTGAATTTATTTTAGGGTAATTCCAACATATAATTTGGTATCTTATTGGAAATTTTTATGCCTATTCCCATAAAAGACCTATTAACTTTTTCTAAACGATACTTGGGGACAGCAAGTTTGTCTTTATTTACAAGAATTATTTAAAAGAGCAATACACAAGATTCTTGCTCATTCTTCTTGTGATGAGACAGATTTCCGAATGAGCGGTAGATAAAAAAAATATTATGACTATTCAAGAGTGCTTAAATTAAGTTTATTTGAATAAAGGATTTTCTATTCTATTATTTAGACGGCCTCGTTGGTCTACCGGTTTAGCACATCGCTTTACGTACGGGGAATCGAACCAGCGACCATCGGAAGGATCGGGGCTGTCAAATATATATCCGATAACGATCGGTATTTGATCACCAATAGAGAAAGTCGTAACGCTTCCAGTAGCAGTGGTTAAGTTTCCGCACTGAATATTTGAAGTCTCACATGCAAATGGTTGATTTTTATTTTATTCAGGTAAGAGCAACTCGCTGGGACAACAAGCCGGGTGTAAATGAACATGTTCGCGTATGTCGCTCGGCCACCACTACGACAATGTTGCACCAAGTTGCAACAAGTAATGCAACACAGATCTGCAACGACGCGGTCACAGATGATACCGGTGTCGCTCGAGTCATGTTCTCTTCAGCTCACGTCGACAGCGACTTATATCAGTTTCAGGTAAGTCAACCATTTGCTTTTTTATTTAGTGAATATTGATTTCGATCGGTCAAGCCGTCTCGGAATAGTTACGAAGAGTTTATTAATACATTTATCAATAGACTAGCGATCCGCCCCAGTTTCGCACGAGTGTAATGGCGGCACCTGGCCGGCCCGATACGTACTGTTATGTCCCTGCATTTTAAATCTGTAATATGTTCGGAAATATGTCCTTTCCTATTATATTCGTTTAAATTACGTGCTGCAAAGGGTTATATTGATCTATATTAAATGGACAATGTATTTAAGGTACTTTATTGGATAAAAATTAATGCTGTATTGCTTAAAATCACTTCGTAAATAAGGCACTTTTTTCTAGTAAAATGTAAAGGATAAAAATGGTTATTGTGGGTTATCCTTAAGAGATAGACATATACCATCGCGGACTTTTTTGTTGACCATTTTAATGTGTACAATACTGTAGTACATTATTTTGATTTATCTCGTGGGGTTCAGCCAGCGTTTGCAATGTAAACGCAAAAAATGTGTTTATTTAAGGGACTTGTATGCTGTCATAGTTGATTATATTTGAATACAGTAGTTACAATTTGCAGGCCACCCTGTACAACGACAGCTCGGTGCGGGCGGCGCCGCTGGAGCTGCCGGCGCTGCGCGGCGGCGCGGTGGCCGCGCTGGGCCCGCTGCGGGCCAGCCCCGGCCACCGCGACCGGGCGACCGTGCCGCTCTACGTCACGCTGCGGGACACCACGCGCCCGCTCACCGTGCACTACGTCGTGAGTATACGTGGACGGCCTCGGTGGTCTAGTGCTGGCGGCGGCGCGGTGGCCGCGCTGGGCCCGCTGCGGGCCAGCCCCGGCCACCGCGACCGGGCGACCGTGCCGCTCTACGTCACGCTGCGGGACACCACGCGCCCGCTCACCGTGCACTACGTCGTGAGTATACGTGGACGGCCTCGGTGGTCTAGTGCTGGCGGCGGCGCGGTGGCCGCGCTGGGCCACCACGCTGCGGGCCAGCCCCGGCCACCGCGACCGGGCGACCGTGCCGCTCTACGTCACGCTGCGGGACACCACGCGCCCGCTCACCGTGCACTACGTCGTGAGTATACGTGGACGGCCTCGGTGGTCTAGTGCTGGCGGCGGCGCGGTGGCCGCGCTGGGCCCGCTGCGGGCCAGCCCCGGCCACCGCGACCGGGCGACCGTGCCGCTCTACGTCACGCTGCGGGACACCACGCGCCCGCTCACCGTGCACTACGTCGTGAGTATACGTGGACGGCCTCGGTGGTCTAGTGCTGGCGGCGGCGCGGTGGCCGCGCTGGGCCCGCTGCGGGCCAGCCCCGGCCACCGCGACCGGGCGACCGTGCCGCTCTACGTCACGCTGCGGGACACCACGCGCCCGCTCACCGTGCACTACGTCGTGAGTATACGTGGACGGCCTCGGTGGTCTAGTGCTGGCGGCGGCGCGGTGGCCGCGCTGGGCCGCGCTGCGGGCCAGCCCGGCCCACCGCGACCGGGCGACCGTGCCGCTCTACGTCACGCTGCGGGACACCACGCGCCCGCTCACCGTGCACTACGTCGTGAGTATACGTGGACGGCCTCGGTGGTCTTGTGCTGGCGGCGGCGCGGTGGCCGCGCTGGGCCCGCTGCGGGCCAGCCCCGGCCACCGCGACCGGGCGACCGTGCCGCTCTACGTCACGCTGCGGGACACCACGCGCCCGCTCACCGTGCACTACGTCGTGAGTATACGTGGACGGCCTCGGTGGTCTAGTGCTGGCGGCGGCGCGGTGGCCGCGCTGGGCCCGCTGCGGGCCAGCCCCGGCCACCGCGACCGGGCGACCGTGCCGCTCTACGTCACGCTGCGGGACACCACGCGCCCGCTCACCGTGCACTACGTCGTGAGTATACGTGGACGGCCTCGGTGGTCTGACGTCTTACTTTCGATGCGGTTCGATTCCTTGTAATATGCAAACATGTGAGGACTAATGAATAAATATTTCTTTATTTCTCAAACATATCTCAACATAAATAGGTACGTATACACTACACTAATAACAGCTTACGTAATAACAACAAACTAGTTTTACCTACGCGCATTCGTTTTATGGTAATTGCGTAAGGTTTTACAGCATAGTGTCAGAGTATGTCCTTAATCTGGCAGAAAACAGATTTTTTTTATACTAATATGTTGGCAAGCAAGCATACGGCCCATCTGATGGTAAATGGTTACCGTAGCCTATGGCCTATGTAGCCTGAAACACCAGGGGTGTCACGTGCACGTTTTATTCGCGTTTTTTTCGCGCACGATTCAAACGTCTCATAATCCAGCATAAATCGTAAGCGCAGGTGCAAGAACTATTCAATTATATCCGTTAAAAAAAATCCACCATATATTTCGTCTCTTTTCAGCTAATCACACGTGGTGGAATGATCTTCCGTTGGGGTACGACCACACAATGCGTGCTTGCAAACTCGAGTGACCACTTCCAACCAATGCCCAAGGACAGTTACTGCTATAATACAAATATCCCAAAACTGGACACAAACGGGGTGACACTCGACACGACAGATTCGCTACTGGACCGCCATTTGTTAAGAGTGATGCTGCAAATCAAGCTAACGAAACAAATGTGTCCGGAGAGTCATCTGATCGCTTATTTTTATTATAAGGACGAGTTGATTAGTGCGAGTAAGCAGTTTGACATGGAAGAATGCTTCGGTAATAAGGTATGTGATTAGGTCGTTTATTAATTTATATTTCACTTTTTTTTTTATTGGATTGATTTATTGGGCTATTGTCAGATGTGTAGCACCTGTAGCACTGCGACCTACATAGATCTATTGTGCTCGCCCTTTTCAGAGTTCGCTACCTAGACCCGTCAGGGACAAGAATTGAAGGATATTCTTAGGAGCGATCGTTTTTATCTCCTCGGGAAAGAGTGTAAACTTTCCAAAGGAGATATTTCGTTTATGCATGAGTGGGCTACAACCACATAGGATGTGAAGCGGCGTTTCCTCTTCAGTTTGGCAGAATCTGCAGATACTTGTCGTGCATAGGCCTAGTTTAGCCATATGCTTGTTTAATTTGCAGTGTCCTGTGAGGGCCCTAGTCATCATGCATATGTTGTTTTTACTCAATAGCAGTAATCTATTGGAGTATTTGGTCGAGAAGCCTGATATTAGGTCTTTTGAATGTGTTAATCCTGGCATTTCTTGCCAGTGATTCAGTGCTTCTCGTTTGGTTATTAATTTGAGATGTCCCAGTTTTAGGCAACGAGGCACACCACAGAAGGGTTCGGGGCCCAGTTGGACGGTTTTTGCCCCTAACTTTGCCAGATGGTCGGCATTCTCATTGCCTATATTTTACATACTTATAGTTTACTTTATTCATACATTTTAGATATCGAAACATTCAAAACTCAAGTGCGTAGCTCACTGGAGTTTTGAAGTATATAGAGTTATAACTATAAAGAAATTATCTATACTTCTATACATATAAATAAAATTGGAGTGTCTGTTTGTAATATTGAAATAACCGTTTTTTACTACATACATATGAATATAAATACGGTACATACATTTTTGTGTCTGGTTGTTTGTTCCGGCTAATCTCTGAAATGGCTGGACCGATTTTGATGAGACTTTTATTGGCAGGTAGGTGATGTAATAAGGAGTAACTTAAGCTACTTTTATTTTAGAAAAATAAAGTTAAATTACACCCGGACGAAGTCGCGGCTACAGCTAGTTTTATATAAAAAAGAAGAAAAAGGAGAATGAATGCTCGCCGTCTTTTATTATGGTTAAAGAAAATATCATAAGAATTAGACATTGTGCTCCGTTTTAGTACTCGTAACGTAAGCTCTGCTCAGTACGGAACTGGACGGCGCTGTGTGAATAGTCCAGGGTTACTATTTCAAATGTATGCAGGTGGAGGTGTCGTGGTCCCCGCCGGTGGTGTCCCCGGGGCGGACGGCGCGGCTGGTGGTGCGCGCGGAGCCGCGGGCCGTGTGCGCGCTGGCCGCGCTCGCCGCGGGGCGCTCCGCCGGGGGCTCCGCCGGGGGCTCCACCGGGGGCTCCACCCCCCGCGTGCCCCCACTGCTGGCCGCCCTGCGCAGGCACATGCACTACCGCGCCAACCTCACGCAGTACGACGCCTCCCGACAGTGCTTCCTATGTAAGTCACTATCCGCCGATCGCTCCCCCGTCCAATTCAAACGAGGATCGAAATTACAACAGCTCGAGCCGTTCGAACCCTTAGCGGCGCCCTTAGACTGAAGTCGTATCCTCCAAGCAGGAGTTGGCCTTCAGCCGCTCCATAACTCCTTCCGCAGATTTGAAGCGTCGTTTGCACTCGTCCGGTGAAGCTGTAAAAGTCAGTTGTGACCAACAGCATTGCAGTACACCGAAAAAAAACGATGACTCTTACGCACGAATCGACATTCACGCAAGAAAAAGTATTCATGTAAATAGCTTTTTTTTTAAGGTGTGGAAAATCTTCAAAAGACCGTCACCCCGCCGGAGGGAGGGCGGGGCGGTGTGTGAGATTTGTACTCACCAAAAACCACACGGTATACCTACGAGCGCCTATGCCGGAGCCAGGGGATACGCAAGTGCATTTCCTCCCCAGCTCCGACGGCGACGGCCCGCCCTGTAGATGTTGTAGGGCAGGCCCCATCTCGTTATGTGGTAAGGGCGACCTATTTCGCCCTACTCCATTGTGGAGGCGTGTGGGTACACGCGCACACCTACGGGGCCTTTGGATTGGGGGACTGCCTCCCTCAAGGCAGTCATGTAAATAGCTACCTTTACCTGACACATCCTTTCACTACTCTGGACTACTCTAATACTTAACCGCAGCTGGCCCTTATAGCTTCACTGGACGATAACAGGGGAATGCAGATGGCACTCCAAAACTACGGAAAGACTTATAAAGGGGCTGAAGACCAACTCCCGTCTGACGGATAAGGCTTTAGTCTGAGGACACCGCTATGAGCTCGAACCTCGGATCAGACCGTCGTAATTTCGATCCCCGTTTGAATTGAACGGGGGATCTTTCGGAGGGGGTAAAAAGCCCTACCACATACCGTTTGTACACATCATTACAGTCCGAAATCAGTGTCATTTAACACATCTAAATTTCCAGCTTCAGACATGTCAGAACTTCCCACAAATCGACTGGATCTGATGACAAGTTGGCTGGCTGCAGCCGGAATACGACTGTTGGGTGGAGATGTAGTTCCCTCCACACGCTGCATTCCTAGACCGGCACCTCTAATTGATATAGAGGCCACAATACCAAGGAGTGATTTTTCAGAGGTAAATATTTATTTATTGACGTAAAAACTAAATGAGCTTTATAAGTTCCAAACATACTCACTTATGGTGTCCCAAACTCACATATTCATATTTATAATGTAATATATGTATGATATAATAAACAAGGAATAAAAGAGAACAATTAAAAAAATCCGGCAAATCTATAGCTAATACATGGTTATGTTGTTTTTTTTTATTGATCTAAATATATATTTTATGCATTATTTTGAATAAATATATACATTCTGCACTCCTTTTCTATATAAAATATATATATAAGTGTGCGAAATTTTATACTCCCAAGTATGCGCAATTTTCGTGAAAAGGGGTACAAAGTGTTTGCTTCACATATTCATTAAGTATGTGAAATACAAAATGAAAAACTATTTTATATTTTACTTTCTTAATGCAAAAAGCATTTGCATTTTCAACTTAAATACATATCATAAACAATTTTACACATCTCTGCGATTCTTTAATCTTCTATTAGTTCTCTTTCAAACTCCTGTTTTCAGATTACACATTTTTGTCCCACCTCTAGTCTTTTTTAACCACTTGTGTTGTCTCCTTTTAAGCTATTCCTTTTATCTTTGGACTTTCTCACTTTCCTATAAATATTAATAACTTTTATCTGTTTTGTTGAAAGAGCTGGCTATGGAAACTGATAGAAGTAGGAGACAACGGTTCATTCACCGTAAACGCTGTTGCTCCTGACTCGATCAGCAAGTACGATGCTGTGGCCATGTGCGTCACTAAGACTGGAGTGGCTGTGTCGGCACCGGCTACTTTGAAGGTAATTTTATTTAGTAATTGTACGAAGAATGAAGAATGGAATGAAGGAATGAAGATCATATCCTAAGGACGGTGTTACATATGAATGTGGATGGTTATAAGGGTAGAGGAAGACCGAAAAAGAGATGGATGGACTGTGTGAAAGATGATATGGTGAGAAAGGGAGTAAATAACGGAATGACTGCGAACAGAGATGAATGGAAGAGAAAAACATATTACGCCGACCCCAAATAAATGGGATAAGGAAGAAGCAGATGATGATGATGATGATGATGCACGGTAATTTTATTGTGCGAACACACTCGTCTTAAGCTATTTAGTCAAATATCAGTTACCAATAACAATAATAATCTCAGAACAACTGACAAAGCTCCAATAGACCCAAGATAAGCTAGCTAGAGCTTGTGTTATGGGGTACTAGACAATGATAGAAATACATAGATTATTTTTTCAAAAATACATACATGTTATACTTTAAGGATTTTATGTACACGCCCGTTTAGGGTTAGGTTTATGACCTACTTTGTCGAGAACCTGGGAGCTTATAATTATACAGCCGAGAGATTTTTTTTTTATCGGACTACTCTAATGCTGTTGGCCGTAGCTGGCCTTAACAGCTTCACCGGACGTTATGGGGCGAGTGCAGATGGCACTCCAAACCCGCGGAAGGACTTATGGAGCGGCTGAAGGCCAACTCCTACCTGACGGATACGACTTTAGTCTGAGAGCACTACTAGGGGTTCGAACCTCGGCTCAGGCCGTCGTAATTTCGATCCCCGTTTGAATTGGACGGGGGATCGATCGGAGGGGCGCCCGGCGGCGCCGGGGGCGCCAATTTAAGTGTTTTTACTGTAAAAAAGCGCAAGCTGCAGGTAGCGATGGCTTGAAGGTCACGCAGCTGCATTTCTAATGTTACACATGCCGTGCGATAAGGATTCTAGGAAGTGGATGGGGGCACGTGTAGAAACTGTGTTGCTACACTACATAAAAAACACACAGGCGCATGCACACACATTCTCTCTCTCTCTCTCTCTCTCTCTCTCTCTCTCTCTCTCTCTCTCTCTCTCTCTCTCTCTCACACACACACACACACACACACACACACACACACAAGTGACTTCTAATTCAGATACAATTATCGTATTCATCATTCTTAAAGTAAGTGTTCTATTACGTTTATTTTTTGTAATATTTATATTATTTGATGTGTACTTCTAAATTTATTTATAATGTTTATTACATTTGCCATATTTTGTTTTTTTTTTTTTACTTTTGCTAAGTCACTAAAAATCTGTTATATCCTTTATCATCTCTAGAAATGTACTGTTGATTTAATGGATTAAATTGTAAGCTATTGGTTTTCTAATAAATAAATCAGTATCATTAACCTCACGTCACATCACGGCCATTTGCGTAATTCGTTTATTGCATACATACTCGTTCTACATATCCTTTAGTTTTTCATAAGATATGATCCCGATAAACCTTATTATATTTCTGGCAGGTTTTTCGCGAGTTTTTCATCCACGCTGATGCACCGAAGCGACTCAGACAAGGAGACGAGACTGTGATACGATACAGAATCTTTAATTATCTGCACCATCCTCTCAGTGTGAGTACCTATATAAAAGACAAATAAATAAAATATATATAGATAAATATTCATTATTTCCCAGCACACATGGAATGAAATATAATACTATAAAAAACTAGCTGTTCCCGCGACTTCGTCTGCGTGAAATTTAGCCGTATTTTTTCTAAAATAAAAGTAGCCTAAGTTATTCCTTATAACATTAGCTATTTGCGAGTGAAAATAGCTAATGTTATCTCGTCAAAATTAGTCTAGCCGTCTTAAAGTATAGCAAGAACAATGAGATAAACTTTTTTATTTATTAATTAAAAAAGTTTGTCTATTTAAAACCCGTATATACTATCTTTATATACCGTATATGCATTTAATGAAAAATTCCACGCAGTCGTAATTGCGAATAACAGCTTGTCAGTACTAAAAACTTAAAATAAGTGAAACTTCAACCCCTTCCACGTCACGGTAACACTTTTTCGTGACTGAAAAATCTTAATACGCACTATAATACGGTAATTCTTATAAAAAAATTACTTTAAAACGAAAATTATACGCCACAGTGCGTCACTAGTTCGTTATAACCACTAGTTCTTAATGCCCCGGCGGTGCAAATAGGTTAGTTCAGTGTGCTTTTTTGCTCAAGGAACAACACAAATTTTCAGCTATAGTACAAAAACCTTTCGGTATATATACTGGAATGGCAAAATAACTGATGACGGTGCCCTACTAACTACGCAGGTCCAGGTGCAGGCTATGGCTGGTCCCACGCTGCAGGTGCCGGCGCGATACGTGGAGGCGGCGTGCGTCGCAGCGCGGGCCTCCGCCGCGCTCGCCGTGCGCGTGCGCGCGCTGCTGCCTGCCGCTGCGGGGCTCGGGCTGCGCGCGCGGGCCGTGCGCGACCACACCTGCGCGCCCGCCGCGCCCGCCGTCAGGTACGTGCTCGACGACAGCTGCGCGCGCGGGCCGTGCGCGACCACACCTGCGCGCCCGCCGCGCCCGCCGTCAGGTACGTGCTCGACGACAGCTGCGCGCGCGGGCCGTGCGCGACCACACCTGCGCGCCCGCCGCGCCCGCCGTCAGGTACGTGCTCGACGACAGCTGCGCGCGCGGGCCGTGCGCGACCACACCTGCGCGCCCGCCGCGCCCGCCGTCAGGTACGTGCTCGACGCCAGCTGCGCGCGCGGGCCGTGCGCGACCACACCTGCGCGCCCGCCGCGCCCGCCGTCAGGTACGTGCTCGACGACAGCTGCGCGCGCGGGCCGTGCGCGACCACACCTGCGCGCCCGCCGCGCCCGCCGTCAGGTACGTGCTCGACGACAGCTGCGCGCGCGGGCCGTGCGCGACCACACCTGCGCGCCCGCCGCGCCCGCCGTCAGGTACGTGCTCGACGACAGCTGCGCGCGCGGGCCGTGCGCGACCACGCCTGCGCGCCCGCCGCGCCCGCCGTCAGGTACGTGCTCGACGACAGCTGCGCGCGCGGGCCGAGCGCGACCACGCCTGCGCGCCCGCCGCGCCCGCCGTCAGGTACGTGCTCGACGACAGCTGCGCGCGCGCGACCACACCTGCGCGCCGCCGCGCGACCTCGACGACAGCTGCGCGCGCGGGCCGTGCGCGCCCGCCGCGCCCCGCGCGTCGTCAGGTACGTGCTCGACGACAGCTGCGCGCGCGGGCCGTGCGCGCCCACACCTGCGCGCCCGCCGCGCCCGCCGTCAGGTACGTGCTCGACGACAGCTGCGCGCGCGGGCCGTGCGCGACCACACCTGCGCGCCCGCCGCGCCCGCCGTCAGGTACGTGCTCGACGACAGCTGCGCGCGCGGGCCGTGCGCGACCACACCTGCGCGCCCGCCGCGCCCGCCGTCAGGTACGTGCTCGACGACAGCTGCGCGCGCGGGCCGTGCGCGACCACACCTGCGCGCCCGCCGCGCCCGCCGTCAGGTACGTGCTCGACGACAGCTGCGCGCGCGGGCCGTGCGCGACCACGCCTGCGCGCCCGCCGCGCCCGCCGTCAGGTACGTGCTCGACGACAGCTGCGCGCGCGGGCCGTGCGCGACCACACCTGCGCGCCCGCCGCGCCCGCCGTCAGGTACGTGCTCGACGACAGCTGCGCGCGCGGGCCGTGCGCGACCACACCTGCGCGCCCGCCGCGCCCGCCGTCAGGTACGTGCTCGACGACAGCTGCGCGCGCGGGCCGTGCGCGACCACACCTGCGCGCCCGCCGCGCCCGCCGTCAGGTACGTGCTCGACGACAGCTGCGCGCGCGGGCCGTGCGCGACCACACCTGCGCGCCCGCCGCGCCCGCCGTCAGGTACGTGCTCGACGACAGCTGCGCGCGCGGGCCGTGCGCGACCACGCCTGCGCGCCCGCCGCGCCCGCCGTCAGGTACGTTCTTGCCTTTGTGTTTCGGCTAGACAGATTTTGATGGAACTTTCACTCGCAGATAGCTAATGTTTCAAGGAATTAGGCTACTTTTATTTTTGAACATTTTATTTTTTCCATGCGAACAAAATCAGTTATTAATCTATAAAATTACCTAATTTCAGCGATGAAGTAATTATTAAAATTACTGTGGATCCAGAGGGTGTGCCAGTACAGGACCACCGGTCCGCATTACTCTGCGGTGAAGGTAAAATTCATTCCTTCTTATTTTAAAATTCAAACATTTATCTTTTTCATCATCAATTAAAAGACAGATTTTTTACACAATAAAAAAGACTGATCTTTATTATTTTTTTAGTCGCAGTCGGATAACTAATAGTTTATAACCGCATTTTATTAGTAGTTAACCATAAAATTGGTTAAATAACGGAAGTAACGGGTTTCTTACAACTATAATATAAACACAGACACACAGTTACCACTTACTATCAAGCGAGCCGTCAGCTTGTTTACCATTACAATTGCATAAATTTTAATTACAATTACATTTTACATTATGCCTGCACAGGAAGCTTGGAGTCTGGAAAGTCCTACGTAACTTGGAATTGGCCGGCAGTAGACGCCGTGCCCGGTACAGAGATGCTGACTGTTTGGGCAGTGGGCGATATTGCTGGACCTTTGTTTGCAGTAAGTTTGTTGTACCTGCAGCAGCCCACTTGGGTCGCAGTCTATTAAGGGATTTCCTAGTCGAGCATTACACTGCCTTTGGGCAGGTCTATCTATCTCTTTTTTGTATTGAGAGAGTTTTTTTTTATAGATGATAATGGAATGGTGCACCCGCCTGCGCTAGCGGTTTACGCTGGCGGGGCACCAGTGGAGGATGATAAGATGAGCATGAGGTCAGGTCAGTTAGCCCATCGAGACAAATCTGTCAATCTACCAAGAATTTATCACTATGGTTTCCAGGGGGAACCGCGTGGAGGTCGACTTGACATGGTACATTGCTAGCAATAAGGTCATCAGTCCACATTACTAACAATCCCCTTTCCCCCCCTATTGAGAGAGTTAGCTTTGTTGAGTTTGAGGAATTAGTCTTTCTCTTTCTAGGACGCGGATGCACTGGTGCTGCTGCCGCGAGGCTGTGGGGAACAAAACATGGCGCGACTCGCCACCAACTTACTGGCACTGGAACAACTGGAGCCCACCTGTCCTGCTGCAGTCACTGCGAAGGAACATGTCGCTAGAGGTACTCTATTTAGTATTCTACTATATCTCTCAATACTGTACTCTATTCTTAACTGTACTAGATCTAAATTATCTTATAGGTATGTGAAACCCAAGGACGTATATTCGGTATTAAAAATACGCTCCTGACTGTTTTCGGACTACTCTAATGCTGCTGACCGCAGTTAGCCTTTACAGCCTCACCGTACGATAGGGGCGAGTGCAGATGGCACTCCAAACCAAAGAAAAATCTTATGGTGCAGCTTTGGGCCAACTCCCGCCTAATGGATACGACTTTAGTCTGAGGGCACCGCTAGGGGTTCGAACCTCTGATCAGGCCGTCGTATTTTCGATCCTCGTTTGAATTGGACGGTGGATCTACCAGAGGGGAGGATCATGACACGTTCTATGTAATATGATCTAAACCAATAACATCTTGCCATCGCCATGTAGACATAAGATATGATGTAGACATAAATGAGACAGCGACATCCAGTTTTTTTTGTGGAACTATTATATTCTACAATTAAATATTGGCATAAACTTACACCATTTTATTTTATTCTACAGGATTTACTCGTCAACTACAGTATGTCCACCCGTCAGGAGGGTTCAGCGCGTTTGGAGGATCAGATTCTGTACCCTCGACCTGGCTGACTGCATTCGCATTGAGATATTTACGAAGAGCTCATAAGGTGGCTATTCTTACCTATTCATGACTTCTTAGTGAGTACACCCACGCGACAGATACGCCATTTGTGATCACGATGTACAACTGCTTCTTTTTTTGTACAAATAATAGCAAATAAGCTTATGATATGATAGCAATTTGAACTGCGAGGAAATGGCTGATGTTTTTACATGATAGGGAGCATACTACTGCTCAACCTATCCTCGGAATCACAACTGTTTCTTCTGTCAGTAAGCTTACACAGTTTTCTTAGAAGTTTTGGACCAGAAAGAAATTTGTCACCGTGACCTGTTTCTGGCTTAAAGCTAAATATTCTGCTTAACGACAGACTCTTGTGATCGTCATGTACAAGAGCTCCTTTTTTTATTATTTTGGGGTTTTATGCTATTTTTAGGTGCTAATAAGACCTGTATCACTGCGATCTGCTGTCTATTACACTCGTTCTTTTCCAAAGTTTGCTACTTAGACCCACCAGGGACAAAAATTGAAGGATATCCTTAGGAGTCACGGTTTTTATCTCCTCTGAATATAGTGTATAATTTCCTTTCTTTTTTTGTAATTGGAATAGCAAATAAGCTCACAGCCCGCCTGATGGTAAGTGGTAACCGTCGCCTATAAACACGAACAACTTCTACCACGGACATCATGTTATCATGTCTTACTCGTGATATGTAGTCATTTCAGAGGACTAAGCTGTCATTCCACTCATTCTGTAATTTCACGAGCAAATCTGCACTCTACAACCGAAACACATCTTACAAAGCAAACTGTATGCTGGCTGTAATAGATGAGACTAAGGTATCCAGATAAGTTTTTACTCTCTACCTCTAGTAAATATTACAATATATACTAACTCTAGTAAATATTATAATCTCTATCAGGTCCTCTCACCAGATCTACCAGAGCCACCAGCGATAGACCGAGCTGAAAAGTGGCTTCTGGAACAGCAGATGGAGAACGGTTGTTTCAGAAATGAAGGGCAGGTGTTCCATAAAGAACTGAGAGTAAGTGGAATGAAATTTCTATTTAATATAGTGGTTTTATGATCGTGGTCTAATGAGAAAGTTGGTGACCATCATATCACTTTTTTTATACAATCAAGAGTGGTAGACAATGTCGAACTGCTTGGTATGCGGATTACAGCCTATATTTTTTTCAATAGTGGAGCCATTATTGGTATTTAATCATTTTGTAGGAGATTCCACAAAATGGTACACGTTTAGTACTACAAGTTTCAATTAATTCAATCCATTACTACAAAATCCGTTGCGTAGTTTAAAAGATCTAAGAGGACAGACAGCGGAAGCGACTTTATTTTATACTGTGTAAAGATAAGATTTAATACTATTTCGATATGAAATAAATTTCGTCATAAATTAAATTGTTTTAATGTTAGTCATTTATTTCTAATTGAATAGAATAGAATAGAAAATCATTTATTCAAATAAACATAATTTAAGCACTTTTGAATAGTCAACATTTTTTTAAATCTACCGCTTATTCGGAAAGCTGTCTCATCACAAGAAGAATAAGCAAGAAACTTGTGTGTTACTCTTTTAAACAATCCTTGTAAGTTCACATTTTACAAGTCGAAACGTGTGAATACAAACTACCAACCAGCACTAATTTATTTAGGCTCAAATATAAAAACACAATAAGATTAAATCAGTCGTAGTGATAAGAGCAGACCAGAACCTACAAGCAGCACTCGTTCACGAGTATGACGGATGAGCCAGCCCTCACTGCGCTCGACCATACTTTAGTTTTAATTTTTTAGTTTTTAGTTATAATAGCCTGTACATCTTCACAGGGCGGTTTAAACGAAGAGGGAGAAGTGGCCAACGTCGCTCTAACTGCATACGTCATCACATCATTAGTAGAAAGCTCCGCAACACTCCCCTATCGAGTGGTCCAGAACACTCTCTCATGTCTCCGAGCACTGCCTCCTTTAAAGACCAAAACTCCCACAAGAGTGTATGCGCAGGCGCTGCTAGGATACACCTTTATGAGATTGAGGAAATATGAAGACGATCTGAAGAAAACTAATGAGGCGTACTTAATGTCGGAGAAGAAGGCTGATCTGGACGGGCTGGAGAAAGAGGAAGAGTTGGGAGAGCTGCTGGACTTGTTGAAGATAGCGAGAAGAAGTGGAGATTATGTCTGGTGGGAGACGAGTGAGTGAATTTACGATGATATTTAGTTGTAGCATTCGCAAGAAACCGAAATAGCGGTGGCTTTATGCTACATAGGGACTAACGTATACGAATAAATCGATGTTCAAACACTCGTAGACAAGAGCAAATATATATAACTCAAAGGTGACTGACATAGTGGTCTAACAACAGACAGCCCAAACCACTGGACGGATCGGGCTGAAATTTGGCATGCAGGTAGATGTTATGACGTAGGCATTCGCTAAGAAAGGATTTTGATTAATTCTACCCCCAAGGGGATAAAATAGGGGATGAAAGTTTGTATGAAACTTTGTCAATTTTAAACCGGGCTCAAACTTTGCATGCATAAAGCTACTATGACGTAGGCATCCCCTGAGAAAGGATTTTGATAAATTCCATCCCTAAGGGGATAAATTAACGCGAGCGAAGCCGCGGGCAAAAGCTAGTAGCAAATATAATAATGCACACACGTACCTTGTTCTGCTAATGCCTTCGATGAACATCCACCTTCGGTAGATCCGGTATTTGAATACGTGAGGTGAGGTCAAATGCCTGTCAAAGAGATAATTTTCGAAACGATGGACATTCACTCGCGCCGTGACCACAGATACAACTGGGCGTGGTGCATGGCAGCTAAGTAGCCTAATTTGGAGTAACTTGGGCTACTTTTATTTTAGGAAAATAAAGTTAAATGTAGTCTAATTAAATGTAGACTTTTATTGGCAGGTAGCTGCTCCTTATTACATATAAGGAGTAATTATTACATCAGCTACCTGCCAATAAAAGTCCTGTCAAAATCGGTCCAGCCATTTCAAATATTAGCTGGAACAAACAGACAGACAGCTAGACAGACAAAAATTGTAATAATGTTATTTTGATGTATGTATGTATTTATATTCATGCATGCAGTAAAAAACGGTTATTTCAATATTACAAACAGACACTCCAATTTTATTTATATGTATAGATTACTCACTGGACGATGTACGTGAATGACGTTAGTTGTTTCAAAATATCCTAATGAGGAAATTATCATTTCACAAACTTAGTTCAAAATTACGACATAATTCGCTGTAATTCGCATTACAAACTTTTAGAACAATCTATTTTGTCGACATTCATTAGGAAGAATTTTAAAATAACAGTTGAATTCCTTCTCATGGATTAACGGTTGGTCTCTAGGTTTAGCACACAGCTTTACGTTTTATGGTCGCGAGTTCGATACCTAGCACGATGCAAACATTTGTATTCATGAGTATTTTTGTACTGGTCTGAGTGTTTTCTATTTATGTATGTATTTACAGAAGAATATATCTAAGTAATTATATCATTTGTCTAGTACCTACAACACAAGTTATGCTTACCGTGGGACTAGATGGCGCTGTGGTAATTGTCCAGGGTTATTTATTTATTTATAATCTAAAATTTAGTATAGGGTAAAAAGGGATTGTAAGTTATGGGGACTAGACATTGCTAGCAATGAACCATAGGGGAGCAGAGAGAGAGAGGATACATCTTATGAATACTGCATTTTTTTTTATGGATTATAATGGAATGGTGCACCCGCTTGTATTAACGGTTTACGCTGGCGGGGCACTAGTGGAGGATGATATGAGCGTAAGGCCAGGCCAGATCGCCCATCATGACAAATTCACCAAGAATTTATTACGATGGTTTCCAGGGATACCACATGGAGGTCAACCTGATATAGTACATTGCTAGTGGGGTTATTAGTCCACATTACTATTAATTACTTTCCCTCTATAATTAGTATATTCGCTCTTTATATGGTGAGAAGGGATCGCTAGTTATCTTTACTAATGATTCCATTACTAGTAATGTTAACTAAACCAGGTTGACCTCTATTATCTTTTTTTTTATACTATTATGGTGGCAAACAAGCATACGGCCCATCTGATGGTAAATGGGTACCGTAGCCTATGCACGCCTGAAGCACCAGGGGTGCCACGTGCGCGTTGCCGACCTTTAAGAAACCTTATTATACCCTTCTTGAAAAACCCCATGCTGTAGTCTCGTGAGAAAATATATTACATACTCGTGACGCAGTGTTTGTTACCAAACTCTTGTATTATAGGTACAAGACACCTAATATAAATATTTAAACATGTTTATTGTAAATACACACTTAATATACATAGAAAACACCCAGACCGATACAATCATATTCATGGATACAAACATTTGTACCGTGTGAGAAATTGAACCCGCGACCATCGCAAGTAAAGCGGTGTGCTAAACCACTAGACCACCGAGGCCGTCAGTTGTGATAGCGGGTGTGGGCAGGTAGCCTGGCGACGTCGGTGGAGGCGACGTCGTACGCGCTGCGGGCGCTGACGGGCGGGGGCGGCGCCCTCGGGGACTCCGGCCGCGCCGCCGTGCGCTGGCTGTCCGCGCACAGGAGCCCCGCCGGCGGGTTCGTGGCCACGCAGGTGACACCTCTCTCACCAGTCATACTCGGGAACGAATGCAGCTTATATTCATCTATATATATAGAATTCTCGTGTCACTTAGTTGCTGTTAGTGTAGACTTCGTTAATAAAGTGATACGAGTTTTTTTTTTATTTTATAATGTGTATTGTTATTTATTTTAGTTTTAGTAATCCAGCGGCGCCTATAATATTTTGTCTGCAAACGATTGCTCAAGCAATAAGACCGCCTCTTTATATTACTCAGTTAATTATAAATCTTATAATATATGTATAAATACATAGATAATTTTGTAAATATACATAGAAAATACCCAGAGACCAATGCAAACAAACATACTCGTGAATACAAATGTTTGTACCGTACGAGGAATCGAACCTGCAATTTTTGAAAGGAAGGCGATGAGCTAAACCGCTACACCGCTGGAGCCGTCAAAATACAACAAAATATGAACAATCGATACTCATGAATACAAATGTCTCTATATCATCTATCGAGAATAGAACCTACGGCCAACGAATTTAAAGAAGTCAGCTAGCCACTAGACAACGAAATCCATCAAACTATTCAACAAGTTCTCTATATTTTAGTTCACTTTCAGGATACGTTAGTGGCAATAGAAGCCCTAACGGAATGGTCATCAGTCCGACCACTAACCCCAACAAACTTGACGGTGACCGCCCGCAGTAGCACTGTCACCAAGACTGTCAAATTACTACCCAACATAAAGGTGCCTGATGTCATCAGACTGGAGGCGGCTGATCAACTCAGCATTGCTGTAAAAGGTGATGATTGAACACATTTTATAAACGGTATCTTTAATAATATGACATGACATGGTATGATATGATATGACATGACATGACATGACATGACATGACATGACATGACATGACATGACATGACATGATATGACATGACATGACATGACATGACATGACATGACATGACATGACATGATATGACATGAAATGATATGATATGACATGACATGACATGGTTATGATATGACTTGACATGATATGGTATGATATGACATGACATGATATGATATGACATGACATGACATGATATGACATGACATGACATGACATGATATGACATGACATGATATGATATGATATGACATGACATGACATGGTTATGATATGACTTGACATGATATGGTATGATATGACATGATATGATATGATATGACATGACATGATATGATATGACTTGACATGACATGACATGATATGATATGATAAGACATGACACATGGTATGACTGATATCTAAGTATTTATATCAATTACCTAATACCCATAACACAAGCTCTGCTTATTTTGAACTAGATGGCGCAAGGGTCATTTATTTTATATGTTATTCAGGATCCGGCTGTGCTGTGGTACAGGCCACCCGCTCCTACCACACGCTGTCTGCAAGCGAGAGTACGGACAAAGTGCTTTCGGTGCAGGTGAGCGTCCGCACGGACGGCGCCTTCCACTGCACCAACAGTAGCTGCCTATGTGCCGCTGTTATTGAGGTATACTTTCGTTATGGTAGGAATAGCAATAAAAATTATGACATGTATAGGAAATCAAAAGGATATATAAATATAGTATAGACAAAATTTGGTGTCGACATCTCTAGTACTATTGAGTTCTCCTGGAAGAAAAGGTAAAGCTGGTATTCAAGAAGCTCGGTGTGCTCAATAGAGCGAGGTGGTACTTCACTGCGGACCAGAGACATCTCTTATATAAGTCACAGGTTCGGCCGCACATGGAGTACTGCTCTCATCTTTGGGCAGGAGCACCTGGATACTATCTCGGTCCTTTTGACTCGGTTTAGAGACGTGCTATGAGAATTGTCTATGATCCCAATCTCTCTGGCGGTATCGAGCCACTTAGCTTGAGGCGAGACTTCACTTCGCTTTGTGTGTTCTACCGATTATACAAAGGACTGTGTTCTGAGGAATTGTTCGACATGATGCCGACAGCCACCTTTTACCACCGCACCGCTCGCCATCGACAGGGAATTCATCCCCACAAGCTGGAACCTAAGTGGTCCCGAACAGTGCGGTTTCAGAGGAGTTTCCTCCCGCGTAGACTTGATTGTGGAATGAACTTCCTGCCGAGGTTTTCCCACGAGACTACAGTATGGGGTTTTTCAAGAAGGGTATATTAAGGTTTCTTAAGGGTCGGCAACGCGCAAGTCATACCCCTGGTGTTTCAGGCGTGGGCCGTTTGCTTGATTGCCATCATCGTAGTATAAAAAAAAAATTACGATGCCCTACGTCCAGGTTCGAACCCCTAGCATTGCTCTCAGGATAGATAGATATATCGTTTATTGGTTTGTTACTAATCACACACAACATGTTCATAAGAATAATAGACAATACATAATACGACATAAGATTTATAAAATTGTGTTATTATGTGTGATCTGTAGCAATACAAAAAGGTCGAAGCTCAGCGTGGAACATTGTTCAATGAACAAAACACTGATTTTCAGCTTTAACCCATTTGAGAGTACGAATAATATCCATAAGTCCTTCCTTTTATTTGGAGTACTATCTTCACCTGCCCCCTATCGTCTGGTGAAGCTGTAAAGGCCAGCTGCGGCTAACAGTATTAAAGTGGTCGGAAAAAAAATTAAAGGTACAAACGAATGTCCTGAGCCAATTGCCAATAATACTATTGTTTTGATCCAGGCATGCGTAATGTGGAGCGGACTGTTCCCGGAGATGGTGCTCCTAGAGATGACTCTCCCGGGAGGATACAACGCTGATGTACAACTGCTCTACTCGCAGCTACGAGAGCCTAATTCCTGTTAGTAAAACCAGCTTGATTTTAGACGGCCTCAGTGATGTAGCGGTATATATATATATGGGTTGTTTGGACTATTGTCAGCTGCTTGGACCTGTAGCACTGTGACTTACATAGATCTATTGTGCTCGCCTTTTTCAGAGTTTGCTACCTAGACCCGTAAGGAACAGGAATTGAAGGATAGTCTTAGAAGCGATGGTTTTTATCTCCTCACGATGTACTGTAAACTTTCCAATGGATATATTACGTATTTACGTTTATACAAAGTAGGCTACAACCACATAGGATTTGTAGTAGCGTTTCCTCTTCAGTTTAGCAAAATCTGCAGATTTTTGTTGTGCACAGGCCTAGGTTTGCCATATGTTTGTTCAATTTGCAACGGGTTCCTAACGGGTTCAATTTCTCGCACAGTACAAACATTACTTTGCGATCTTAAAAGTTTGGACCTAGGAAAATTATTTCCTTGACATTTATAATTATATTTCGCCCAATTTACATAATTATGCTAATGTATAAGCGTGTATGTGTTAATCTGATGTATAAGCTAATTACTGTGAAATATAATTAAAATCCGTTCAGTAGTTTTTGCATGAAAGAGTGATTAACATCCATACATCATATTTATATTGACTTATTTTTCTTACTTATTATTATTATTATGTACCTATTTGTGTATCTATTTTATATTTATATTTTTTTTAATTGTAATTTATATATTTTGACGGGACGTTTATTGGCAGGTAGCTGATATATTAAGGAGCAACTTAGGCTACATTTATTTTAGAAAATTAAATTAAATTTCACGCAAATGAAGTCGCGGGTACAGCTACAGTACAGTAATAATAATAAATTTATTCATATTTTAGTATTGCGTCGCATAGAACTGAGTACAAAGAGTGACCGGACGACCTTCTACCTGGCCACCCACGACGGTAGCGACACCCTGGGCAGTGGAGGTCACCAATGCTACAAAGTACATGCCATAGGCCCCAAGACCAGGACCAAGCCAGCATACGCTCGGGTCATGGACTATTATAGACCTTCAGTTAATGATACGCAGGTCAGTAGAACAGTGTTTCCCAAAGTGGTCTATATCGACCCCCAGGGGTCTATGACAAACTGCAAGGAGTTTACGACAGCGTTTATGTTTTTAACACTAAACTTTACTACAGTTAGAAAATTACTAAAAATCAATACCAGGTAAGAATTGAGGGTCTACCCAAAACCGAATGATACGCAGGTCAGTACAACAGTGTTTCCCAAAGTGGTCTATATCGACCCCCAGGGGTCTAAGACAAACTGCAAGGAGTTTACGACAGCGTTTATTTTTTTAAGACTAAACTTTACTACAGTTAGAAATTTCAATAAAAAAATCAATACTAGGTAAGAATGGTGGGCCTACGATAAAATAAAGTTTGGGAACCTCTGGTCTATCTTCTAAAAGATTTTGATTTATATATTTTATTAATATTTATTTATAGCTTTATATATATTTGCAGCATATATAGTCTTTGGCATAATTAATTTTGTTCATAACGTACTCTGTGCAGTTGACAGAGCCTGATTGTAAAAATGGCGGGAACGGCCTAATTGAATGTGAAGCGCAATTTAGCATTTTATTTATTTAAATATTTAAATACAGTACAATATTGTATGTATATGTATGTGTTTAAATATTTTTTATGACATTGTTTTTCTCGTTGATTATATTTGCACTGCCTACAATTTTTCTCTGCACAACCTGTTGTTGACTGGTACAAAATATTATAATGCGTTACGTCTGCCATATGTACTTTTACTTTGGTAAGTTATATAAATACTTCAATAAATAAATTTTGGACTGTCTAAAACTACAACCTCTAAATTCAATACTTTCTAGTATTTCGTGTATCTAATGCAGCACTAGCAGGCTCTTACCAGATTTAGCAGGGGAAGGATAGAAACACGAGCGATGAAAGTGAGTGTTGTGGTACTGTCTTAGATTTATTAGTACTTATTAGTATTAGTACTTATTATTATATTTATTAGTACTAGCATGAATTTGGTAATCTCATTGGTTATTAGTCCACTAATAACCAATGAGATTACCAAATTCATGCTAGCGATGCATATGTTTAACTTCCACGCTGATCTGCCATTGGATATCATCTTAGACTGTGCTTTTTTCACCACTTTTTTATCTACCATACTGAAGAATTCGCACAGCGCCATCTAGTCAAAAGCTAAACAGAGCTTGTGTTATAGCTACTAGACAACTGATAGGAATACTTACATACATATTTCTTATAAATGCTTACATAATACACAAACTTTCATAACGCTCACATAACATACAAACAACCATGCTCATAAATACAAACGCATCGTGTGAGGAATGGAACCCGCGACGGCGAATGAGGCGGATTCCGCATTACGCCGCCTCCGCTACCCCACCGAGATATTTACTAAAAAAACAAATATTAAGTTGCTTAGTACCCGTAATTAACACATGCTCTTCTTTGCTTGGAACTAGATGATGCTGTGTGAACGATCCAAGGTTATTGTAGGCGACACGTAAATTTTTAATAGCCCAAAAGAGCACAGACCCTTGCAAAGAGAACTTGTGCTTGTGGTAGACCCCAGTTCTCCGAGAAATGTGTGACCGAAGAGCATAATTCAAACAGTATTACCGCGCAGAGATGGTAAAATTAGAGTAGTCACATAAAAATGTAACATAAAACTGAAGTCTGGGGTCCTAAGAAGGTCAGCTGTGCGTGTCGCACGTATACCTACGAGGTCTGACTGCCAGCACTGGGGAGATGAACACTCACCTCCCCAGCGATGGCAGTCAGACCGCTGGGCTGGCTGGGGAGGTGAGTGTAAACGACACGTAAATGTCTAAATATTTTAAACAAATGTTTAATATGTGATGTTCTTAATGTAATTTAAATAAACGCGCAATATGGCGAACGTAGGTGCGAGCGAGCCCAACTGCAGCTACTATTTTTGTTGCCGCCCTTCCTGTTTCCGCAACGCAACAATGAAAAAAAAATTTTTAATATTTTCTTCAACATCCTCAACAGTTATTATTATTGACTATATTTCTTCTACTTACAGATGTATACAATACCTGAAGATTGCCCACCAAGAATATCTTTAGAAACCAACCGATACAATTCATCAGATAATTTATTCAACGAAGCGCGAACACTATCTGGAGGTATAGCAATTATGGACGAATTCATTGAGGATATACCTGAAGGTTCACCTTTCGATTATCCCAGATATGATAATTTAACGCAAGGTATAACAAATAATTCTGAAGTTAATGAGCCATTAGTAGCAAAAGATACAGAAAACGCTACGGATAAAGAAGATTTAGCACCAATTGAAGATACGTTAGGTTTAGAATTAGTTGATAATGTTAGAAATGTAGATGAAAATACAAACAAATCAGAAGTTAGTGTGAAATATGAGAACATTAAATCAAATATTGAGGATCCAAGCTCAATCATACTCGTTGAAAACAAACAAGAAACAAATAACGATAGAGAACATTTTAATGATAACATAAACGGAGAAGTTAAAGAAGAGAATAAGCAAGAAAATATTGTAGAAGTTAACAATAGAAAAACAATTATTGCTAACGAAATTACGAGAACTACAGAAATGACCCATACAATAGAGGAAAGAGATGATATGATAGAAAGTCATGAACCTATTCAGAATCCAACTCTGTCGAGTTTCCACGTCATAGATACGGAGAAAGATCTAGAAGTACCATCCGGGATCGAAGGACCAGTTCCCGTTGTCGTGTTACCACCGCCGAATTTTATGACAGTAGCTTTACCACCAGGTATTAATGAGTACAATTATCAACCCAAAAGACTTGACTTAAAATCCTAAATAGCAAACAGTTACTGCCGTGATAAATGATAATAATATCCCTGGACAATTCACATAGCGCCATCTAGTCCGAAGCTAAGCAAAGCGATTATGGGTAGAGAACTTATAGATATACCTACTACTTAGTATACATACTTAATCACATAGAAAACACCCAGACCGATACGAACAATCTAATTCTATAATTCCCCTATTTTACAGGAATGCAGCACCCCATGATGCCTAGAAATGGGGTGAACAGAGGTATCCAAATGCACCCCACTCAACAAATTTACCCATACTATCAAAGGAATCCTTATTACAGAAAATATAGAAGATACACCGCACCAAACGGATAAATAACTGCGTTAAATTATTATTTATTTGTAATAATAGTAATTTAAATATTCTTTATGTTTATAGACGTTGTATAAATAAATTACACTAGGGAAACACAATGGACGATTTAAAAAACAACTTCATCCCGATATTATAAAAAGAGAAGGCGTCTAACTGTTTGTTACGACTAAACAGCTGAATGAATCTTAATGAAATTTGACGTGAAGAGTACTACGTGGCTAGACATATGCTATCCTAAAAAATCAGACACGATTAAAAGGTAGTAGTCAATAATATTAGACTATTCAAATTTTGAGTAAATTATTGCAATCCGCTAATTTTAGATGGAATTATCTGATACAAATTAAACCGGCGATTATCTCTCTCCCACTCTTTCTCTCTCTCTCTCTCTCTCTCTCTCTCTCTCTCTCTCTCTCTCTCTCTCTCTCTCTCTCTCTCTCTCTCTCTCACACACACACACACACACACACACTGGCTAGGCTCTTTTCATTTCCTTTGACGTCAGTTCTCATAGTCATTCTTCGCGCCAAACGTGTAGCAAAAATTGTGGAAATGCGAGTCAAACAAAGTTTCGCGGCTCAACTAGTTTTATATATAAGATAGCATCCGTCATAGTGAAACTATCTTCATGTCAAACATTGAATTCCGTTAACACTTTAGTACTGAGGTAACAAACAGACTGACATATCTTCGCATTTATAACATTAACACAAACTATATCAACTAATTCCATATAAATATTGTCACATTGAATGAATTTTAAATTCATTAACATTATCCACTAGAAAAGCAGTCTCCACATATGGGATTCGTTACGATATCTATTCCATTCAAGTTTTACGTAAGCACTATAGGGGTGCGGGGAGTCTAGATGATGATTACGTCATCGCTAGTAATTTACTTTTTTACACGAATGGCAACTCTCACATTGACACATTAATTGAAAAATGTTTAATGTGGGTGAGGGGGTAAAAGCTTTGCTTACTTTTGCTGACAAGGAGGATGGGGGAGGGGGTAAATAATTGTAATACATCTGCTTCATCATCTGAGCCCGGAAGACGTCCACTGCTGAACAAAGGAAATAAATAAATCAAACAATAAATTTGCTTACTTACGTAATATTTGAACGCATCACATCACATAACAGTGACAAATTATGTTGCTTAATATACACTTACTTTTATTGATTAAAAAAATATAATTTCCAATTATAACTTATACTAAAAATAGACAGATTAGAAATAAATATAATGTAAACATTTAAAAACGTAAGATGACTTGCATTTATAATATTAGTACTTAAATATAATTTATTTTTTGTTTTCTATTCCATTTTATTTATACTCTTTGTAAAAATAAATAAAATATTATCTAAATGTACATTAACTGATACAAAAAGCGGTCATATCGCTAAGCAATCTCTTCCAGACTACCTTTGGGTGAATGGAGAAAGTAAAGTTGAGAAATTATTATTATTTATTTCATAATATCGAGGTAGATTTTGTAATGAATTTAATATCTCATTTTATTTATATATACTTTTTATTGCGCCAAATACAGAAAACACCCAAAATAGTATATATTAACTGCAATAACTGAACTGCATGTGGGGATGATGGCCACTTAGATTTTTAGTAAAAAAAAAAAAGGTAGACGACAATTGTATTTTCTTCATTTGAACACCGGAAACGGACGATAAGATTAAGAAATAATATAAGCACAGAGTACAAAAGTAACTGAATTACTTTTTCTAATTTTTACGTATCTGGATACTCTAATAACAACTAAAAAAAAAGGCGGTATTGTCGCTTAGCTAACTACTCCTCCTTTGGGTGGAAAGAGAAAGCAAAGATAAGAAATTATTATTATTTATTTCATGATACTGAGGTTGACTTTGTAATCAGTCTTGTACCTCAGTCTTACCCATTTCAAGCAGCTTGCTTTTTTAAGCTGTTTCGGAAACAAAACGTCAGCATAGGTCCCTCAAACCCCAGACTCCAAGCAATTTGATATGTAAGCTATATTTTAGTTGAAGAGAAGAATAGGGCTGTGAAATTACAGAATAATTTCGGAATCGTAACTACAAGCGGTAGTGGGGTCGTCACGTGATAACGTGATATCCTGATATATTTGATTATTGCTGATCAATAATATTTTTATGTAACAACTTACCTTCTATACTAATATTTCGCAAATAAATAATTTCATTTCATTTCTGGGTACAGTCATAATGAAGTAAAATTAATTAAGAGCGATCTTCATTTATACCTAGATAAATCAATACAATGAGTTTCATATGTCACGAAATATAGTTAATTTTCTTAATTGCCTACTCAACAAATAACAAGGAAACATTTGTATTTATCCAATATGTAGGTACTACGTACTTCCATTGTTCCGTAGGTTAAGCCAAATATGGCAGCACAGGAATAAAACATTAGAAACATGACTGTACAAAATAGATTACAAGACAAAACGAACTTATATATTAATAATTAATAATATTATAAACGCAAAAGTTTGTGAGTGAGACTGCAAAAACTACTGAACGGATTTTAATGAAACTACAGTAAAATAACTTATGCATCATAATTTTTATTGAAATTTAATGCGAGTGAAACCGCGTGCACATCTAGTTAATTATAAAATACTTTTCAATATTCAAATCTAATTTATTCATGTAGGTAGTCCTACATTCCTACATTTATCCGCTTATGAACGTTAATTTTTTTATATTAATATTTTTTCTCTTCCGCCCAGTTCAAAATACAGATTCAATTGAGAAGAACTGGCAAGAAAATCAACAGATTTTTTTTTATAGCCAATTATTTTATATTGTGTACTTAAGTACATGTCTATGCCTAACATTAAGTGAAAATCCCGTGAGTGAACTATTATTGCCATGCACGTTTGTCATTTAATAGTACCTAATCGTTTAGTTGTTTAATCTATCTATTCTCATATATTATATTATATGTTCTAGATGATTTCAATATATATTATGTATGTATTTACAGAAAAAAGTATATAAATTTATCTATCAGTTGTCTAGTACCCATAATACAAGCTCTGCTTACCTTGGGACTAGATGGCGCTGTTGTTAATTATACTGATATATTATTATACCTATGCAGGGCCGTTTTTCACCTATTACAGGACCTGGGCACATTAGGATAATGGGGTACCCTATAATCATAGTAACAGAGCACTATTTTGTTAGAATAGAAAATGTCATGTTTTAACATGACTCTTTAGAGATGTATATGATATACTTACTATGAATACTATGAATAAACTTAATTTAAGCACTTTTGAATAGTCATAACAATTTGTTTTTAATCTACCACTCGTTCGGAAAGCTGTCTCATCACAAGAAGAATAAGCAAGAAACTTGTGTGTTGCTCTTTTAAATAATCCTTGTAAGTTTACATTTACAAGTCGAAACGTGTTAATATAAACTACCAACCAGCACTAATTTTTTTGGGTTAAATATAAATATATAATAAGATTAAATCAGTCGTAGTGATACGAGCAGACCAGTCCCTACAAGCAGCACTCGTTCACGAGTATGACGAATGAGCCAGCCATCACTGCGCTCGACCATATTTTAGGGAGCCCAATGACCTGGCCCACCACGCCGCCACATGTCTGGACATTTTAGTGAGCATGACTACTCATTTCACTCGACCACGTCACAGCTACAAAAATTACTATATGGTTGTTGCAGTATTCGCACTTTACATGAGGATGCATGCGGCAATCATTACAAAAACCGCTACGCTATCATATATCAAGAAAGCAGCATGAAAAATAAATTATAACGTTGTCCGCAAATAAACTTGCCTTACGAGAGCTAGATCCAGACCTTAGTTCTCTTCGAATTACTTCGTTTCGTAATTGATCCCTCAGAGAAACTCCAAGCTTAGCCCTTTCTATAGCTCGTTGAGCGACTTTGAGTTGGTGGACCATTTTGTAACTATGACAATTAAGACGTAAAAGCATCGGTAATATACCGTTAAATTATTAATTAAATTATCTTCCAGTAAGTTGTCGTAATGCGTGAATCTAAATATATATAACTCAAGGGTGACTGACGTTGTGATCTATCAACGCACAGCCCAAACCACTGGACGGATCGGGCTGAAATTAGCCATTGCCATGCAGGTAGATGTTAAGACGTAGGCATCCGCTAAGAAAGTATTTTGATTAATTCTACCCCCAAGGGTACAAAATAGGGGATGAAAGTTTGTATGAAACTTTGTCAATTTTAAACAGATTGGGCTGAAAATTTCCATGCATAAAGCTACTATGATGTAGGCATCCGTTAAGAAAGGATTTTGATAAATTCCACCCCTAAGGGAATAAATTACCGCGAGCGAATCCGCGGGCAAAAGCTAGTCATATATAAATGTCCTCCGTTGTATATATATCGCGCGTTCTATTAAAAGGTCGAAACGAAATAGAGTAGGTAGTCAGTCCTATTTATATCCGCATTCCCACTCGAACACATCGCTGAACAGATTTATAATAAAATATCTTAAAACTCTACGTCGTTATGGGACACAGTCACCTAGATACATCAAAATAATAATTGCATTTAATAATGTCTAGTAAGACAAATTCAATATTGTCTACTAAGCACTGCTGTGTTTAAACTGTGTCACTCCACCTTACATTTTCCTATTGTTATTTAGTATATAAGATCATTATTTCTATGTACACATTGTCAGTTTATCATCATCTGTAATATACATCCTCTCGACCAACAGCATCGTATCATTTACCCGCAACAGTCGTTATATGTTCAATGTTTTGTCAGAAAACACTCACTTACACAATTTAAGTAATTTGGGTAAGAGGAGATTGACAGTAGCAAGGTCTAGTCACCACATTGCTAGCAATATTAGTATATTGCTAGCAATGTGGGGGACCCGAGTGGAGGTTGACCTGACATAGTTAGCAATATACTATGTCAGGTCAATCTCCACTCGGGTCCCCTTGGAAATCATCGTGATAAGTTTTTGGTGAATTTGTCTCGATGGTCTAACCACAGATAACATCTAAGCTGACATCATGGTCTTATCATCGTCCACTGGCG